TCAAGCAGAGTTTCAGGAAATTCGACTTCCAAATGTATGCAGCTTAGGTTAGTCCTTCTACCTGTAGCATATAACGTGACAAATTTATGGCAACCGTTGCCAGGTCGTGCTATAAGCAGGGAGACAGCCATAAAATGTGTCACAACAAAATGTTGAACCCATTTTTATACGCATATCGAAGCGTGGTTTTACGAGCCGCATAAAACATGCAACTTGATGGCGTTTCGAAAACAGAAGACTCAAGACACAAACTAATAACAAGAATGCCTAAATGGAGCGCATAGACAGAGAGAGAGAGAGAGATAGGGAGAGCATGAGAGACAGTCGAAATATAGCCAAGGCATAGGCTGACTCTCTTAGGTCTAAGCCGATTATGCGCCACGACTTTGACAGAGGAGGGAAGCGGGAGAGACGGGGAAATCACATAAAAAAGTCGGAACGATCTACTGGAATCGTGTTAAGTGTGCGACGTTTTTGACTAGGCTATAAAGGGAAGAGGGGCTAGGGGTCGGGGCAAGTTGTGTGGGGCAGGGCTATAGCCGGTGTCGATGTCACTGCTGTCTGTCTGTGGTTGTTGTTGTTGTTGTTGTCGCTGCTGATGAGTGTCATTAACATCAAATTACCACAAGTCAGAGTCATGTTGACCAAAATAACAGCCCAGACCAAAAGAATGAGACACAGAGAGTGAGAAAGAGAGAGAGAGAGGGAGAGGGAGAGTCTTAGTAGAAAAGGAGTCGCAATGGCTGACAAAACCACAAGAGCTCACCGTTGGGTCCACTTGCCTCAACTCGTGGCAATGCGGACCGACAGCTGGTTGCTTGGCGAAGCGTAAGCGTTGCCCCAGCCCCAATTAGATGTAGCTCGTGCCCAGACCCAGACTCTGGCAGAAAGGCTCTAGCTATGATTAGATTTGATCGCTGAAACCATGCATGGAAATTTACATACATCCCACGCCAAGCTGAAGGTGTTCATACTAGAAGCACGCTATAATACCCTGTAGAATCTTGGTATGGGGGTTTGATATGTGCAAAATTATGCAATATTAATTTTTGGTGAGATTTTCTATAAATGTGTCTTTACAGATAGGAATCTCCATATATACCCAGTATTCATATTTCTATTTTTTATCTATTTGATAGATCGATCGGATTTCATTTGTAAGCAAGCGTGCAGAAAAAGTTTGCACAGTTCCCTTTTAGCATATAATTTTATAAATAGATCGATAATTATCGATAGTAACACAATTCAGTTTAGGCGTAATACAGGAACTCTGTATATATTTATAAATCACTTTTTGGACTCAAACTTCCCCGTTTCGAGGGCAACTTCTAGTCCATATCGATGCCAACTCTATCACTCTTACTAATTTAATAGATTGATCTTGCGATTGTATCTAAATCTCAAGCAGTCTGTGAGATATGCATAATTATGTTAAACATGCCAAACTCATTCATAAATCTTCTTTCTTTCGTTTTTTGTTTTTGCCAAGCCAGAACAAACTTCAGTAAAGTCAATATTTACATAAAAAATGATATTATTCATTCAATGCTCAATGGATTAAAGCTGCTTCACGCATTTGCCTGATCAGCGAGCACATCTTTTTGTTAGGTGATAAAATTTGATGGTAATTTATTATGCGGCTCAAGACGACGGCCGGGCCCGTCGAGGCAGAGCGAGTCGATTATAATATTTGGGTCTGGGAGTCTGGAACGGGCGAACGAAATCACAAAATGAAATCAATAAACCAGTCAATAAAAACAGAAACAGAAACCGAAACAATTTTAAGTTGTAAATTATGCTAATGAGACGCACGGATTTCATGTACAGCCATAAAAGAAAGAAGAGGAGAGAAAAAAGTCCGAAAAAAAAAAGAAACATTTTTCTCTTTCACAATTCTCGATTTTAAAATGTTTTCTGTTTGTGCATATTTAACAAATAAGCGAGGCGCCGCGTGGGCGTTTATAATAATGGGGGCGTGGCTAGCTAAATTTAAAACTTACTCGTAGTTGGCGTTGCTGATGCGGCTGCTGCTGCCGCTGCTGCTGGCTCGCCTTGGGGTCGACAAAGCCGCTTCCAAAACAACATTTTACAGATGCTTGAGATGCTGCCGCTGATAAGACTTGATCGAGCGATTATGCGTTAAATGCGGGCGTCGCCTTATTGCAAAATCTTGTTAACATTTGACACACACCGACGATCGACGATCGAGCGAACGAACGAACACACRCACGCACGCACAACACGCTTTAATTAATTTGCATAAAATTATAATAATTCAAAATGTTTACGAAACGGGCGCCTGCGCACGCGTCGCCTCAGGAGTTGCCGTTGGAGTCAGAGTCGAAGACGGAATCGGAATCGGAATCGGAACCGGAGCTAACAACGGCGCACGTGCCGCGCTCGAATGCAACTGCGACGAAAAAAGAAGAGTGAAAAGCGACAACGGCGACAACATCAACGTCAACAGCGGCGTCAACAACAACAACAACGACGCCGACGACAGCGACAGCGACGGCGACGTTGGCGACAGCTACAGCACCTGCCAAGTGTTGCCACAGGTGGTGTTGTGTTATGTGCCCAATTGTGCTGGGAATCGAAAACTGTTTTTTATTTTGCTTTGAAGCGCCCTCGCTTTTGGTTTCCGCAAAAAGCTTCGATTTCCGTTAAGCGGGCACTTCTGCGCCGCACGACGGTTAATTAACGAATAAAAGTCGGCTTTGTGAGCGCAGGGCTTAAAGCACGGCGGTAAAGCGCGGAAAAAAAAACAAAACCAACACAGAAAAATGAAAAAAGAAAATATGTTACACCCAACGTCGAGCGATGAGCGCAGCGCTGCTGCTGCTGCTGCTGCTGCTGGCTCTGCTGCTGCGTCGGCGTTGGCAGCGCTGAACGCACATTGGGGCCAGTGGAAGCATAAAACAGGTGTAAGGCGCACTGAATGAGCGTAAAACGGTTCAAAGACACGGGTCAGGCCACCACCTATCTCCTACTCTGTCTCTCTTTCACACCCTCTCTCTCTCTCTCTCTGTCTCTCTCTCACACTCTGTGTGCATATGCTAGATGAACTTGTAGCCATTAAACTTTATGATGCTCTGGGTGTGGACAATTAGAAGCTCGTAAAATGCAGCCAATTAAAATCTTTTATAGTTGAATATTTTACTTTGGTATTAAAAACCAGTGACAATAAATTTATTGATTAAACTGCATATTCCACGCCTTTCCAGCCTGAGGAATGACACTCCCAAAGCAAGACTAAATAAATATCATACTCAAGTGCCTATTGCTGAAAGAAATGCAAATTGTGGGTGTTCTGCTGGCAGCGTTGCCACTCTTTGCACATTTAAGCACTGTGCGCCGTCGACGCCGACGTCGCTGCCGTCCGCCATTTGTTATTCTGTTTATACTTACTTTTTTTGCCCAAAAAATGTGTAACAAGCGGGCGCATTTCTTGCCTGCTCTCTCGCCCGTGCAAAGTTCATAATGCACGCAAGGCAACTTTTACGCTGTTATTTTATTCTCTTTTTCGCTTGCACATTTATTGCTTTACGCTTGACGCGTTTATATTGTGAACGAAGGCGATTTGTTGCTGTAGCTGTGGCTCTGGCTGCTTGCCGTAGCCGTTACTGTTGTTGCTGACCAACATGCAATGCGGCGGCTTTTTGGCCCCCATGCGGAAAACGTCTTTCTTTTCGCTGCTTCGTCTGTCTATTTGACATATTGCACTTGCTGTGCCGGCGCTGACGACGCCGGCGTCGCTGCTCCGACTGCGGCTGCGGCTGCGGCCTGTTCATTAAGCGAATCAGCGTAGCGAAGCAGAAAGGCAAAATTAACATAAGACAACTTCTTTTGCTTTGACTTCTATGCGCTGTGGCGGAATTAAAGACCCTTTCTATTGCTACACATGCATGTGCCTGTCTGTATGTGTGTGTGTGTAAATTGCTTTGGTATGCGTCTAATTGCTATACAAATTTTAAACGAAACTTTGTTTTTTTTTTTGTGACAGGTCATAACACAAGCTTTTTGCTTTGTACTTGTTTCTCTTGTTGTTGTTGYTGCTGGCGTATGGGTCGCGGAAGTCTTTCCATTCACAATAGACAGTTCGTCTGCACTGCGCGCGTCTGTGAACCATGCAATTGCCATTATTATCTTTAATCTTTATTCTTTTGCAGCGGCCACATATCACTTAGTCACGCGCTTTGTTTAGAAGCAACCGAAAACGCATATGATGTACATTCATATGTAATATACATATACATACATATATAAACATATGTACATACATATGTATATTGAAAACACGCGACGCGCGGAAACACACAAAGCTTTTTCTAATTTGCAAACTAATTGCATTCACAATAGTTAAAGTATCGATAGCTGCATTAGTGATCGTACACAATTATATCGCATCAATTATGCAATTTTGAGGCATCGATTACATCTTGTTAGGGTAGTTGCGCTTCGACTTGATACAATTTCAAATGAAATACATTTTGCGCTTGCGTGAATGAAAATTATTTTGTTTATGAATATTTATGTGCGCAGCTGCGCAACAATATGTGGCACTGCCGTATAGCAACAGGCGCGTGGCAACGATGCGTTTCCATGTTAACTAAACTACAAACAAGTAAAAGTGCCACGAGCGAGAGTTAGTAACTAGTAAATACCCTGTAGAGAGCTTCAAGTGAAAGAACAAAGCTTTGTGGCGAGGAGAGTAGTGTATGGATCGATATTTACTGATATTAAAAAAAGAGAATTTTAATATTATTTCTTGAGATCTTCAATACTCTACAACTTTTGTACTACCTCATATTATAAAGTTATTGCTCCCTTATACTCACTTAATATCAAAATATATTTCACCCGTCACCTCTTTACCAGTAAGTCATTTATGTACTGGCTGCAACAGAAATCGACATACCCACAATATACCCCTTAGTTGTCTCTTTTAATCGGAATAGGATATCCCATAGAAGAAATTAGACAATAAGAAAAGATTGTAAGCACCGGCAATGTCCAGGCCGCTGAACAAGGAATATAGAGCTGCTGACTTCCAGCAGCTCAGCCAACTGATCCAAAATCATCCGCTGATGAAGACAACTAGGACGGAGGAGCTATCGATGCAGAAGTTTCGCACTCCCGAATATCGCACGAAATGCGTAATGCGGGCTTCCCTGGATGACATAGCGCAGGGTGTGAGTAGATGGAGGGCAAGGGGAATCAGTATACATCAGTCCTAACTGGGAATTTCCTCAGATAAATATGTACAAGCTGCAGTTGGGCGCGGAAAGGAAGACGTCCAAAGCGGAGAGCGTGACCTTTGGACCTCCTCCAAGGAAATCCGCCAAGGCAGCCACGCCCTTTATCAAAGTGCTGTTGCGCAAGACGGCGCTTGTGGTGCTCTTCGAGCGACCCAGCTTGACAGCCGAGCTGGACACCGAGGAGGGTCGACAGGTTCAGGCGGATAACCAGCTCTACGAGGAGTTGCTTGCGGGCACCGACAAATCCCGAAGAACCGTCGATGCGGATACGCAAACAATCGAGCCGCTACTGAAATCCCGCTTGGTCAACACGGAGCGTCTGCGAACGGATCAGGTAGGCTCCTACGTTTCGAACTTTGAGATGTTCGATACGTACAAGGACCTGGAGGCATCCACCAAGAGTGTGCCCATAGATGGAGCCCAGCAAATGGAGGTGACCACCTATCGCCTCGGAGGCGTGGATCAATTCGTGGAGATCAATCAGCTGCCCAGCTTCCGCTTGGCACTGATGCTCACCATGCGCATCCTGGCGAGCAATGTGTTTGAGCCGCAGCAGCGACGTTTTCGCAATATGCAGCCACCCGATCCGCTCGCCGAGGACGTGAAGTTCAAGTATCGCCTACAATTGCTTTGGAAGCTGAGCTCGCCCTCCCCAGTGGCCAGGGAGCAGCAAGCAGTCACTTCCGTCTGCTTCTGTCCCAGCAATGGAGACATTATGGCCGTCTCCTACGGCATCTACACCTATGCAAAGCTGGGCAGGAAGCCTCGCCGGGGCTATGTCTATGTGTGGAACATCAAGAATCCCGTGAATCCGGAACGCTGTTACAACTATGCAGTGCCCGTGGTGGTGGTCCAATTCTCGCCTGGATCACCCCAACTGCTGGCCATTGGCCTGCACAATGGCGACGTGGAGGTACGTGACATCTCACAGCCGGATCAGCCAGCTCTGGCGCGATCGCAGCGCGCCACCTCGCCCTACTTTGACCCGGTGACGGCCATCAAGTGGATTCCCCCCAGCGATAATGATGTCCTTGCCGAGCAGGACATAACGCCCTTCCTCGCTGCCTCGCAGTCGGGCGCTGTGATCAAGTATCAGCTGATCACTAGTCCACATCTGCTGGGCTTCGAGCAGCAGCATTTCCAGCGTGCCGAGGCCGAGCTGGAGGGGATCAGCGTCACCCAGCCGGCGCATCGTGTGCCGCTGCTCGCCAACCGGTATGTCCAGTGCCTGGAGCTCGCCCTGGATCCACTGCAGAGCGATCTCTACTACGTGCTCACCGATGARGGCACCATGTACAAGTGCTCCACCAACTATCCGCTGCAGCACCTGGAGCTGCGGCAGGTGCACGAAACAGCCGCCGTCTGCATGGACTTCTCACCCTGGTCACCCAAACTTTACCTGACCTGCGGCAGCGACTGGTGAGCAGCCTGTGTTGAAGAACCCCAATGGAATCTTACTTCTATGCCTAATCCCTTTCAGGTGCATTCGCATCTGGATGGCTGGCATCCTGCTGCCATTGATCACGCTCCAGCATCACTTGTCCCCGGTGCACTGCGCCCGCTGGAGTCGCACCCACTCCACAATTTTGGTCTCGCTCAGCCACAGCACCATCGACATTTGGGACCTGCGCAACAGCACGCTGAAGCCCGTCTCATCCACCACGATAGACGCCAAGATTCACTACACCACCTTCTGGTTGGCTCAGGCTTAGTCCATTTCCCACTGTTCCATGATCCTCATGCGATTTCTTTTCCAGCTTCTCGCACTGTGGTCGCTGCCTGGCCGTGGGCAATGAGGCGGGCAACCTGCTCATGCTCGCCTTCGAGGATATGCCCTTCCCGCCACACTTCCAGTACAAGCAGCTGAAACGCGCGCTATACAAGGCCCTGGAGCTGGACCCGGAGCTGCTGCAGAAGGTCAAGAGCGTGGGCCCCTTTCATTATCCCAACGGAGACAAGCACACATCGGATCAATGAATTGAGATATAATATATGAACATCATTTCAGTAATAATTAAAGTAATATCTCCCACATGTTATCGTATATCCCATAAGATAGCTATTACTATCAAAATAGTCGCTTCCCTCTTCCGTTTGTTCCATGCAAATCGGAATCAGAACAAAAACTGGGAAAATCCGTCGACCAAGCTTTGGGTCACCTGTGCCACTTCTCTATCGCTCGTAGCCCCGTTTCGAGGGCTTTGCTATCACAGACATTTGCATATAAAGTCGCAGCACACCTTGAGCCGCCTGATAGCCGCCAAGTTCATGCCTCGGCCTGCGGTTATTGTGGCTTGATTTTATTTTCATTCATTCCGCTTCAGCTTTCAGCCTGAGCTCGTCTCGCTTTCAGTTGAGAACGCAACGTTCATGATGGCTCATACGCTGCGCCAGAATCTGCTGCTGCCCACGCCGCCAACTGTGACGCTGCACGACCCACGCACCCACCTGCGCCACCTGCCGCCCGCCTACAGCACCGCCCAGACGCCCTACAGTCGGGAGAAGGACTTCGCACCACAGCTGCGCTACCAGCTGGAGCTGCCAAGGAAACCGAAGCTGAGGCCCTGCAAGGTTATCTTTGTGGGCGACTGCGCTGTGGGCAAAACGGCCATGGTGAACCGGTGGGTCAACCTCTGTGCAGTGTGAACGAACAACTATTTCTATTGTGAATAATTTCCCTTTAAACTCTTCTTCTTTTCCAGCTTCTGCTATGACAAATTCCAGTCCAACTATAAAGCCACAATTGGCGTTGACTTCGAGCTGGAGAATTTTAGCATACTCGGTCACAATTTCAGCCTGGAAATGTAAGTGGAGCAACTGCATCAACTCTTATACAAATTCCGCTTTTCCTGCAGGTGGGACACGGCTGGCCAGGAGCGTTTCAAGTGCATTGCGGGTGCCTATTATCGCAACGCCAGTGGTAGGTCCAGCTATGCCTATATTCCAACTATATATATTACCTCTCCCCCAGTTATTGTAGCCGCCTATGACATGTCCAAGCGGGAATCACTGGAGGCAGCCAAGAAATGGCTATCGAGTGCTCTGAATTACAACACGGCACAGAAACCTTTGATATTTCTAGTGGGCACAAAGGCAGATCTATTGGTAAGCTCATGTACATACTAAGCAACTTAAATCTTATATGTCCCCCCATTCCAGACCAAAGAAGAGTTCATGAGAATGGAGCGCATCGCAGGCCTCGCAGCTTCGGAGCTGAAAGCGGAATTTTGGTCCGTATCGGCACGTTCCGGGTACAAAATCACAGAGTTTTTTCAACGCTTGGCTGCTTTAGCCTTCGAAGCAGCTGTGCAGCAACAATTGAAAGCACTGCAAGCCACAGCAAAGGAGCAGACAACACAAACACCGGAAAAATCGCACAAATTTGGTAATGAAAATTGTATTAATAACTGAATTTTAGTAATTTCTCTCTTTAAATAATTTACAGATTTACGTAATTTCTTTGGCAGTCGCTCTGACAAACAAAAAAGTGGCTGTGCCTGCTGAAAAGCTTGCACTAATTTTATTTAAGTACAATAATCAAGCTTTCACACAAATATTCGTAGAAACTTATAATAAAACGGTTTTAAAATTTGAAGTCTAAAACTAGCGCTGCCACTTATTTTAATATTTTTACAGCGTTGCCATCATATTGCCACATGGTTTGAAAAGCACGCTTACTAGCGCTGCCATTTAACACACTTAACTTTTCAGCGTTGCCACTTACCACCCATCTGGCCACACTACTGTCAAAAACTGCTTCCGCTGCTTTGTCAAATGCCCCTTAGTTTTCCTTTTCATTTCTTTTTCTCGTAGAAATGCCACCTAAAAAGCCAACCGAGAAATCCGGTAAGGATTTTTCATATAAAATTATATTGAAAATATGTGGTTTTGTCACCTAATTCAAAGCCAAAGCAAGCTGAATGCAATGCAGCATGTGGAAATGTGATTAATTACAAATTTAGCGCAAAAAATACCCAAAATGTTTCGCCATATTTGCGCCACGTGCGGTGCGGTTGCGACTCACAATTGAAAACAATGGTCAAGAAGATGACAAGTGCTAAATTTAAATGATTTAGTCATCCGATTTTCTAATTAAGTGCATTTGTTAGTAAAAATATTGTGTCCACTTGCTTTAGCGTTGTGTGTTCGTGCTTAACCCAACTTTTTGCACTACTGTTTACTAGTGCTAATTTTTTGTTGATTTATAATTATAGCAAAGCCTGGCGATAAGAAGCCAGAGCAGAAGAAGGCCGCTGCCGCGGCACCTGCTGGTGCCAAGAAGGAGGCAGGATCTGCAGCCAAGCCAGCTGCGGCCAAAAAGGCAGCTGCGCCCGCTAAGAAGCCCGCAACTGCTGCTGGTGCTGCCAAGAAGCCAGCTGCTGCCGCTGCTAAGAAGCCCGCCCTGAAGAAGCCAGTCACCAAGCCAAAGGCTAAGGATCTGAAGAAGAAAGTGGCCGCTGGCAAGAAGCCCCAGTCTGTGCTGGCTAAGCTCTCCGCCAAGGCACGTGCTGCTTCCAAGGGCAAGAAGCCCGTTGGCAAGGCTGGCGCTAAACCCGCTAAGGGTACTGCCAAGGCTAAGGCTGTTGCCTTGTTGACTGCCAAGAAGGTTCAGACCAAGGTAAGCGTACTTAAATAGCTTGCGTCTGAAACATGAATACAAAAGCGATTCCTCTACAGATCATCAAAGGCGCCTTCGGTACACGCACTCGCAAGGTTCGCACCAATGTGCACTTCCGTCGTCCCACAACGTTGAAGCTGCCACGCAATCCTAAATATCCAAGGAAATCGGTGCCCACTAGGAATCGCATGGATGCTTACAACATCATCAAATACCCGTTGACCACGGAAGCAGCGATGAAGAAGATCGAGGATAACAACACTCTGGTCTTCCTCACACATCTGCGCGCCAACAAGAACCACGTGCGTGCCGCAGTGCGCAAGCTCTACGACATTAAGGTGGCTAAGGTTAACATTCTGATCCGGCCCGATGGTCAGAAGAAGGCTTATGTGCGCCTGGCGCGTGACTACGATGCTCTGGATATTGCCAACAAGATCGGCATCATATAAACAAGCAAACAAAGGGGAACGTGCATCGCGTTTTACACTTTCRCAATAGATTTTTCATTCTATTAAACAACATATAATAACTARGCTGACAGAAATACTAGAGCGAGGATGAACGTTTCAATGTTGTGTCTGGGTATAATAAAAACAACAAAAAACAAGAAAATTCATTTGATTTCTAAATATTTCAGCAGTTAATACTTAAATATTTATTTCAGCTAATAATTTATGTGCAGTTTGTTCCAGAAGCTAATACATCCATCTTTTGTCAAAGGTAAGTTATAAACGTTCAATAACTTTAAATTTACAACTAATTTTCCTCGGATTTCTTGTTTCATTTCAGTTTTGTTCCGGCATGATCTATSAAACTGYTTATAAGGTGTGTATTAGAAGATAATTATAATTGATTTTGATTCCTTTAGATGATGATATTTGAGTAGGAATCTCATTGAGCTTCAGTCATTCGTTGCAATGAAATAAAATTTCTCAACTGAACACAAATAAAACTTTGATAGCTATGCAATTTTGATAAATGTGAATTAATTTAAATCTTTTCTATTGCAGTTAAATTCTAACTTGCTGACCAGCTGTTTATTACTAATACTTTATAAGGTGTGTTTATAACAAATACCATATATAGTTTATAAATATATTTTGATGATATTTTGAGTAGGAATCTCATTGAGCTTCAGTCATTCGTTGCATTGAAATTAACTTTCTCAACTGAATAAATTTGTTCTAATTATTAAATTAAAATGGTTTGAAATCAGTCAATTAATAAAAATATTATTTATTTATTTACAGCACATGGACATGGAATTAAACAATTTATGATTACAATTGAAGCGGCATATTAAATAAACTATATAAATGTATATATAAAACTTTGTACTCTATTTCAATATCGACGAAATTGTTTTCTAAACTTGTCATAATGATAGTCATCTGTCGCACGCTTGACTCCATTGGGATTCGTTTGATTCCTGGCGGATTTGTTGTCGGCTTCCCTATTCTCACGCTTGCGCCTGCGTTGTTCACTGCTGTCCTCGATGTTAACTGGAGATAAATAAATCAAAATTTAATATATTTAAATAGAAATTCCAGTAGCAGCTTACAGCGGTTGTGTTGCATAAAATTGACAGCCATATTGGTGGGCACAAACTGTGAGGGCCCATCCTTTTTGTTCTTAGCATCCTGTAGCAGTTTTTGCTTAGCTTCTTCCGTTGCCTCAATGTTGTGTATCTTGGCCTGGATGCCAAGATCCACTTCGGGTATGCCATTGAGCATCTGGTTGGACAACATTTCTTCAGATCTGTGCGAGGAGGATTGTCGCAGATGTTCGGGCAGAGCGTAAAGTGCCGCATCTTCGGGCGACATATATTTATGGGCATCGCGGTCGTCATGATCATTTGAATTTTCGTCAGCAGCACCGCCTTTGCGCTTTTGCAGTTCTTGCTCAATGTATTTCATCATTTCCTCGTCTTCGTCGCGCTTGTTTGTTTCAGCTGAGAACTGTGTTCCAATGCCCACGTCATAGGCATCATCAACTTCCTTCATTTTGCCCGATTTTATTGTTTGCATGTTGACCAGTCCACCGATTTTCACATTGAACGGATCCTTTATGGCCAGCTCCTCCTCCGGTGCCACTTTCTTGCCCAGCGCCAGACCCACTAGGCTAACACCATTGGGGCGTTGACGTAGTCGCTGTCGCTCCTTGATTTCATCCAGCGTGAGCCTTTTTTARGTAGACATTAATATATATATTTATAATATTTTATACGAATATATTTACTGTTCCTCATTGTCGCCATCATCAGAGTTTTTGCGCTGTCGCAGATTTTTGCGGGGCTTTTTCTTGAAAACCACTTTGGTAGGCTCTTCCACAGCTTCATTTTTTTCATTATCATCAGTTTGCATATTTTAAAGTGTAAAAATATCAGCTTTCAAACTAAAATAAACCAAATTGTTTATTTGTTTACAATGCTCAGTGCTCTTTCTACAACATCGATAGGAAATCGCAAATTTGCAAGTATATCGATAGTTAGAGTTGCATCGGAAGCGGCGTCGCCTGGTAGACAAAATCGATTTTTCTTGTGTTTGCAAACTGCACATTTGGCGGAGCAGCTGCGCCGTTCCAAACGCTGATGCATACGGAAAAGTAAACGTTTAAATAAAATACACATAGCGAGCGAACAGCCGGTACAACATGTACAACGGCATTGGATTAACAACGCCGCGTGGCTCCGGCACCAATGGACATGTGCAGCGCAATTGGGCATTTGTGCGACCGGGCAAAAAGGACAAGGAGTATCGTGCCGAGGATGACACCAAAAAGCTAGACGCCCAACTGAATCGGCCCCCTAACAAGGAGATACTTGACCACGATCGCAAGCGAAAAATCGAAGTGAAGTGCATTGAATTCGAGGAAATACTCGAGAAGCAAGGGTAAGTTTGCATACATATGTGAAGCAATGTTAAATGAGACACTGCCACAGTCAGTCAGCTCTAGCAGTTGACTCCTGCATGCGTAATGCAATATTCGGTGTTATATAACACCGGTGGCCAACACTGTGCACATTCGGTCCAACATGCATTTCTCTCCCAATGCGCTAATATTTACGTTCGCTCCCCGCTGTCAGCCGCCTGCTACTGCTACTGCTGCTGCTGTTTACATTCGGCGCCTGGTAGCCGTGAGAGAGCGCGCACGCACGCATACGCGCTCAGTAGCGGTAAATGGCAGCAACCACCATCACCACCACCGTAAAAAGCGCTGTCTCTGCTCCTTGACAGCCCATCCACCCTCTCAGCTTTGCTCTGACAGAGAGCTGAGCACTTATCGTGCTTTTCAGCGTGACACGAAAAAGAACTACACAACTTGACGTAGAAAAATTTAATAATATTGTATGAAAACCAGTTTAAAGAAAGAAAATATGATTAATGACCCTAGATGCCCTTTAATATATTGAACTGATAGTTCTTGCATAGAACTTATATTGGATCGACTTCCGCTTCCGTCACATTTCGTAACAAGTATTGTTAAAAGTCCATCTCTAGTTTGGCGCTCTTCCATTGGCCGCACACTGACAGCGGCCCAGGCTGAGCCTGGTCTGGCCTTACTCGTGGCTGGTGGTGGAAGACTGCATTTCAGTTGTAGAGATTGCTTCAATAGAGCACATCCGCGTTCAACAATAAAGCGGAAAGCTCTATGAAATACCACACAAAAAACCGTTAAAGTTATATTTATAAACAATATAGAACGAGCTAAAAATCAATAATTCAAATTAGATTTAAAGTGTGAAATAAATTAAATTTGAATCTATGCTCAAGTCTTAAAGGTATTTTAGTAACACTTATAAATTAAATTTAAATTAAATTAAGTAAGGAAATATCCTTGTTTATTGGCAGACGCACACCGGAGGAGATAAAGTCGCAAGTGGATTCATATCGCCAGAAATTAATGGGCCAAGGCAAAACCGATTTAGCCAAGGATGAATTTGGACGCGTAGCGTAAGTAGCTCTCAATTGATTTTCCATAATAGCTTAAGTATAGTTAGTTATGTAATTTAAACAAAATATTGTGTGCCGCGCTCACACACACCCACTGGACAAATCAATAAAGCCTTCAACTTAGTTGCCTTCCCGGTCGCGTGTCCAACTCAACTTAAATCTCAGCCAGCTGGCCCAGTGGGCCAAAGCCCACATGCGCAAGAACAACAAACCAAACAACCCACCCGCTGGTCCAGGCGCCAATCAGAACGCAGCCAGTTGTAGAGAAAATGCTGCGGCCGAGATGAAATTTAGATTTTCGGCAGTCACTTCAAGTCTTCCAAAGCCAAATGTTTGGCGAACGCGCTCAGGAAATACAAAAATAATAAAAATATAAAAAAAATTTAATACTAGTACTTAAAAGCAATAATAAATAGTAAATTAAAATAAAAGTTAAGTTTAGTGCAACAACAACAAAAAACGCCGACAGGAAACATGAAAGCATTGGAAAATGTTGCTGCTGCTGCAGCGCTGGAAAAATCAATATTTGGCACATACAAAAAAACGAATTGAGGAAAATGCGGCTAAGCGAAAATGCAATCGATACGCCAATGTCCGATGCGCAGCCCCTCAAGTGTGCAGCTAAGCCCATCATAGCCATGGACAGGCAACGCTGCTGCTGCTGCTACTATTACTGGTGGCTACCAGCTCATCCAATCCACAAGAGCTTAACAGCTATCAAGTCACCGTCGCCGTTGTCTTTATTCTAGTGGTTGCTGTTGTTGTTTGGAGCACTGAGCTCTCGCATACCAAACTGTAATGTGAGCTCCGGCACCTAAAGACCCAAATACCCAAACCAAAAGCAACAAATCACTAAATAAGTCTTCCAAACTTAGCACGTAATTAGAAATTAGTATTTAGTCTTTAAATGAAGTCGGCGCTAATCGTTTGCCCAAGCGGAGTACTACGAGAAAAATATCTACTTAAAAATCCGAACTTTATATAATATTATATGGAAAATCCAACGTCTTCCAAATCCTGGATAAAAACAACAAAGTAAACAAATTTATTAAAGAGCAAATGTAGCGAAAGTTTCAAGCAAATGCTAATCCAACGTCTTCCAAAGTGTTAAATATAATACAACAAATAAATATTTATTTTTATATTGAATAAATTTATAAATAATATATCAGAAAACGTGTCTATAAACAAATAAAAATAAAATAAGAACATATTGAACTAAATTTGGAAAAAAAAACCGTAAAGATAAAAAAGTAAATTATATACAAACATTTTTACAAGGTATATAAAAAAAATTCTAATTTCATTATATGTATATACAAAATTCTAATTTCATTATATGAAAATAACTCTAGCAAATATATAAAAAAAAAGTCTGCGGTCTTCCAACAAAAAATATACAATATATATATATTTATATACAATAAAAGCACTATTAATAAAAATCCTTAATAAATTGTGGAAAAAAAACACTATAAATAAATTAATAAATATAATAAAACAAAATATATTAATCAATCCATTGTCTTCCTCTACAAATTATGGAATAAAGATTAATATTTTTTTAATAAAAAATATATATAAATAAAAATAAATAATAATAATAACAGTAATCTATGATCCACGGTCTTCCTAAAACAAATGTGGAAAGTAAACAAACTAAAATGTAACAAAATGAAAATGCAAATTAGAGGAAATACTCCAATATTTTCGTAAAGCAAAAAACAGCGCGCTCTACTTAAAATAACATAAAATAAATATATAAATAAATAAAAAATAAACAACCCCCAACTGAAGAAGAGAACTCTCCAAAATGCTCTCCTCGGAAATCTACACAAACACCACAACAACCACTGCAACGGCAACGGCAACGGCAACGGCCACCGCAATGGCCACAGCCACCTCGACCTCCGCGTCCAACTCGGAGGCGAGAAGCACGACGAGAGCCTTCGCCACGCTGCAGGTCGTCAAGGCAAAGAAGCGGCGTAAACGTCGTAAACGCGCAGGACACGCAACCGGCTGCGTCAACAACAACAACAACAACAACGGCAGCAAGAACCACAGCTGCAGCAGCAGCAGCAACAACAACAACCCCAATGCGATTGTGGGGTGTGTGGCTGGCACAGTCGGTGGCAGGAAATGCAAGGCGCAATACTTCCAGCACGACAATCGCGAGTATATAGCCAAATACGAGAGTTTCCAGTTCACGGCACAGGCGACATCGGCGGCGGCACTTAACTATGCTGCCGTGGCCAAGAAGTTCAAGCCATTGCGGCCGGTTTTGGCAAGCGGCGCCAAGAAGAACAGGCGCACAGCACAGCCGAAGAAGCCGCACAGCGACTGCGCCTGCGTCTGCCAGAATACGCAAGTGACGCAATTGACGCAATGCCCAGTGGAGCGAACAGCTGTGCTGGCACACCGGGAACGAGAAGGTCGCCAGTCGGAGAATGTAAATGGGACGGGTGGACAGGCGCTGCCGGCGCTGCTCGAGCTGCTCAAGCACTCGTCTAGCACGTTGCTGCAAACGCTGCTGCTGGGCGCTGGCAGCGCAGCGGCGGCCAGGTAAACAAATGGGCTGAGAGAGGGGCTTATATAGGAGAATAGTAATGATATGGCATGGGCTTGTATGATGATATCTAATGACATCCTCCCATTTCTATTGCAGCGTGCGTGAGACCCATCAAATTGCCGAGGCACAGCAGCAGAAGAACGCCAAATTGCGCGAGGCATTCAACATATCCGAGTACTTTGTGGAGGGCAGCAGCTTTGATTGCGATCGCAAGGCTAAGGAGGACCTGGCCAAGACAGTGGCGCTGCAAAAGGAGCTGGACGCGCAGCGCGAAAGCCTTGCGGCAGCAGCAGCAGCGGCTTCAACGGCGGCCGCAGCTGCAGCAGCAGCTGGCAAAGACAAGGAGACAGGCAAGCGATATGCGCTGCTGCGTACGCCCTCACGCGAACGCGACGATGGAGCTGGCAAGTCAGATGCTGCGGCTGCCAGTGGGGATGAGCGCGACCATGTGTCCAGATCGGACAAAAAGAAGAAAAAGAAACGCGCCAGGGAGAGGTAACCACAATTGATTCACCTCAATCATCAAAGATGTTGAAATATCTAAATCTCACTTGCTCTTCCAGTTCTGCTAGTCCGGAGCGCCGCAAGGATAAGAAGAAAAAGTCAAAGAAGCACAAGAAAGAGAGGTAAGAGCTCGGCACAAATCGAAAAAGAAAAAAAGAAAACCTACTCGTAGCTGTCTGTTCAACTAGTTTTCTATTTCAAAAAAACATAAATTTTCTGTTTCATATTGTAAAAGTTGAAACTATTTTTAATTTCTCTTGTTGTTGTTGCCAAAACAAACAAAAATTGAACACGAAACCTTTTGTAATTAACAAAGAAAACAACTGCTTAATATACATTTTGTGTTTTTCGTCTCTACTCCTTTTTTTACATTGCATTTTAAAACAACAAAAAAATAACTCAAACCAAAAAGGGATTCATATGAGAAAGAAAGTAAAAAGAAGCGAAAAGTTATGTACAAATAAAAAGCAAACAAATATACAAACACACGGACACACACTCACACACACACACACACACATAATATAACTTAGTTTATAAACAAAATGAAATGTTTCAAAATGACAAAAGAAAAAGTATTATTAATATACTTTGTTAATCATATGCGCTCAAAGCCTCGTTTTATTTGGCCTGACAACGTAGGGTTGCTATGGGCTGTCTCTGTAACTATCTCTCTATATCTCTATCTCTAACTCTATCTATCTCTAAGCACACACACACACACTTTCTCCCCCACCCACCCACACACACACACACACACACACATTTCGTTCACATTTGTTCTTATTCAGCTTGTGGTAAGTAAAAAAATTCGTTTATTCTATATAAAATTGTATTGTGTTACAAAATTTGTTTGCTATTTCATATATCATACCCATATACGGGGCGCGTTCCAAAAGTATGGCGAATATTGAGACTCTATTCAATTATATTCTGAATTTCGAATATTCAGTTAAATTCTGTGACTTTTCTGTGGCTTTGTATGTATGTGATTGAGCACTAGAGAGGTAATAATATTATTATAATAATATTACTTTCAATTGCTCAAGGATTGTTTACTATCTAGATAGATAGATAAAACTCTAAAGTCAACACAGATTCGCCATGCTTGTTGGTGAGCCTTCGTATACTGAATACACATACACCCATACACACACACATACACACCCATACACATACACTCACACACACAAAGTTTAAGTACAGTCTCGTTTGTTAAGGTATCAAAAATACTGTGTTTTTGACAACAATTAAAAGCGTATTACTTTCTCATCTTTCTTTCTATTATTATTAATTAACCTACTACTATTTATTAAGACAATGCAATTTTGAGCAGTTTAATCGATGAAGGTAAAGCACTAAAAAACCACAAGTTAATCAAAACTCTTTAAAACCCCCCAAAAGAAAAAAAATCGCATTCTTCAAGTTATTGCTGCCAGCTCCCATTTGGGGTGCCCAGTCTCTGGACAAAATTCTAGTTAAAACGTTCTCTATTATTTAAACAAAGCAAAAAGAAACTAATTTGTGTATTTTTAAACATTCTATTTGCAGTAAGTCGAAAAAGTCGAAGAAATCTCGCAAGCGCAAATACAGCGGCAGCGATAGCAACGACAGCGACGAGGAGGAGGCAGGCAGCAGCGACGCCGAGCGTGAGCTGAAAAGTGCACGCAAGAAAGCCAAGAAGGAGAAGGTAAAACCAACAGCAAAACCCTACTAAAACCCTATTCGATAAAAGAGAGAACTGAGAAGAATGCTGGACAGCTGACAGAAGGTGTCCAGTTCGAATGCCTGGGGAGTGCATGAGCTGTGCTAATCTTAAAGATATCATAACTTTTTCTCTTAACCAATCTCCACTCTATGCATTACTAATTGCCATATAATATACTATATATACATATATATAACATTCTCTCTGCCTAACTTTTATGTAAAGAATCATTTGATGAAACTATTCTAGTGTAATCTAACGTTATGTCTAAATGAATATAATTGTTTCTCTCTCTACATTTGGTATATATTGTACATATATATACTATGCCTTATATACGTTACATGATATATACGATGATAATAACTCGATTGATCTTATCGTTTTTTTCGTTGTTTCAAATTGTTCATCCAAATATTAAACATACGCCATTTCTTCTCTTCGCTTATTTACTTCTTTTTTCCACCAAAAAAATAAAAAATAATTAACAATCTCTAAACTCTATGAAAAACATTAAAGCATACCAAAAATTAATTAGAAAAAAAAAAAAAAAACAAAAACAATAAAAGAAATCAAATATAATAAAATCACCCCACAAAAATATTGTAAAAGGTAAAAACAAAAAGGCTTCAAAACATACACAAAAACTAGTATTAACAAATTTTCATTTGAAACTTTTTAATTTTTAAATTTTCCTTTTGATTTCGTATAGCTAGTCGATCAATCAATATCAAAATAGAGCTCTGCACAAATAATATTTATATAACTCCAATAAATTTCTTTTGTGCATAGTTAAACAACTTTAAAAATTGTACTTATTTTTATGCCCGTTCACGAAATGGGAAAAACATATTAGTTTTGTGCTATATAAGTCTTTATTGTCCTTCTGTTTACCGACTAGAGATTTGAGGCCCTCGTCTATGTAGAATTCCCACAATGGAGAGTTTAGTTAAGGCAGACTCCCTCTGGCCCGTGAACGAGTATTCTGCAGTCGGTATTAGCCGACTTCGATTCTTACTTATGTTTTCCTTTTTGTTCTGTTTGCTTAACTTATCTGAATTATTATGTAGTATCCACAAAATTCCAACCATTTAAAATTTGTATAAGTAAAAATTCCAAAGAAAAACGAAAAAGAAAATTTATATTTTGTTTATGAAAACCCTTGGCGCTTCATTAATATAGGATAGCTTTCAAAGGCTCTCTTGTAGTTTTGTAAGTACTTTCATTTGTCTGTTTTCTTTCTAACATATAAATATATATTTCTATATAGAATAGCGTCAACACTCTCTTGTGTATATCTATCCAACAAAAAAAAAAACGAAAAAAAAAATGTTTTTCAGCCCGCTTTCAATTATCATCAAATCAAAGCGAGAATTCATCATGAGATATACCCACATTCATATATCATGCCATATGATCATACCGAATGAAAATAACTGTGTTTATATACACACATATTTAAATAACTAAATATCAATGCTAAGGCCTAGACGCTTTACAGTTTCTGCTCCGTTTGTGTTAACAATTCCTCCTCTTTTGTTATGCAGAAGAAGCGCGAGAAGAAGCTCAAGAAGAAGCAGCGAGCACGTGCCAGCTCCACGGATTCGGCACGTTCCAAGTAAGTCGAAAACTACATTGCCTAGCCAAATCCTTCATTGATTGTGCCTCATCCTTGACAGTTCGCCTGAGCGCAAGGACAAGAAGTCGAGCAAATCTCGCGCAGCTGCCGAGGATAATGACACACCTGCAGAGAATCCCGTTCGCGGTCGCTCGACCGAGCGGCGCAAGGACAAGAAGTCGCGCCGCAATGACTCCTCGACGGACAGTCGCCGGGAAAAGCGAGATAARTCGACSCGAACGCCGCCGCGGCGAGAGACTGAGAAGCCAACACGCTCCAAGGAGCGACAGCGCGAGCGTTCCAAGCAGAGGTTGGGCTCGAGGGAGCGACAGCGCTCGAAGGAAACAAGGCGCAATGAGAGACATAGATCAAAGGAGCGTCAGCGTTCCAAGGAGCGCCTCAAGTCAAAGGACAGAGCACGATCCATGGAGCGACATAAGTCTAAGGAGCGTCAGCAATCAAAGGAGCGACAGCGTCCAAAGGAAAGGCAACGGTCCAAAGAGCGACAGAGATCAAAGGAGAGGCAGCGCTCTAAAGAGAGACTTGGATCCAAGGAGAGAGTGCGCTCCAAGGAGAGACTCAGATCAAAAGAGAGGGCACGTTCCAAGGAGCGGCAGAGATCAAAGGAGAGAGTGCGCTCCAARGAGAGACAAAGATCAAAGGACAGGCCGCGGTCGAAAGAGCGACAGCGCTCGACGGAGAGGGAGCGACAACGGTCAAGGGAAAGAGAACGGCAACGATCAAAGGAACGTGCGCGCTCCAAAGATCGTCACCGTTCGAGAGAGCGACTGCGCTCAAAGGAGCGACAGCTCTCCAAAGAGCGACCCAAGTCCAACCAGCGCTCGGGCGATGCAGTCAAAGAGCACGGCAAAGATCGTAGGCGCGATCGTCGCTCAGCCTCTCAGCCGAAACGAGGTGGCGGTCGTCATTCCCGCTCGCGTTCCCGATCGCATAAAAGGCAGCGAACACCTTCGCCCGCGCTAGTCAGTAAGCAACGGACTCGCTCGCCGGAAGCATCGAAGAAGACGGCGTCAGCGCCCGCTTTCAATCCCTTCAAGGCCGCCGAGGATACTGTGAACGATATACTGGGCACCAAGTCGGTGATGGTGGCGCTTGAGCAGACGAAGCGCAAACGCGCAGCGTCCAGCTCGAGTTCCTCGTCGTCCAGCTCCAGTGGCAGTTCCTCCCACAGCGAGCCAGGCACGCCCACGCCGAGAAAGCGGCGCCGTAGCCAGACGCCCGAGCAGGTAAAGCGCGAGCCWAACAGCCCAAGGCAGCGCGAGCAGTCCAAGAGCAGCCACATGAAGCGCGAACGCTGGGGCACGCCCACCAAGTCGAAGGCTCTCAAAAAGGAGAAAGATAAGGTGAAGGACAAGGGCAGTACGCCAAGTCCCAGACAGATCAAACGTCGCTCCGAAAGTTCCAGCTCCTCAGAGCTGCGCTATTCCCCGGCTGAGCGCAATCCCGAGCGGTATCAGGACATTCTGCAGGACAAAAAGCGGCAGCTGTCCAAGTCAAAAGACACGAAGCCCACGCCCATCGTCCGCCTGCGTGCCCAGAGCGACGATGGCGCCGAGGAGGAGACAGAGATGAGCGCTGCAGCTCTAGAGGATTATCAGCAGTCGAAGCGCGAGCGCGARGAGCAGCAGGAGCTGCGCATGCTCGAGCAGCTCAAGTCGGGCATTGCGGCCAAGGCCAAGCAGAAGATGAAAACATTGGAAAAGATCGGCGATGCCAAGGACGCGGACGCTGGCAGCGAAGTAAGTGGCGATACTAACAATGTGGTGCTGGCCACCACCAAACGTAACTCGCTAAGTGAATTTCTTGTTGCTAACAATGTGACCGCTTTGATTAATAACCCACTGACAATGCCAACAATAACAACAACAACAACAACCACATCATCTACTATTCTAACAACAACAACGATAACGACAACAACGCCGCCGCCTCCCGCGACAGCAGCTGAGCCGCGTACGCCGCCAATTAGCAAAGCGGCCCAAATGGCGGCCAACGGTGGTGCCAAGAGCCCAGCCAATCCGACGGCAATAGCAGCAACAACAGCAACTGCAACTGCAACTGCAATAATTAACCCAACGTTAGCAACAACACCAGCAGCAACGACAACARCAACAATAGCCAAATTCAATCACAGACCCCAACAACATCCACAGACGAAGCGCATCTTTCATAACCGCACGCTGAATAACAATCCCAACAGTAGACACAATACTAACCATAACAATAACAATAGTCATGTATGTGGTGGTGGTGTTCCTCTCAATCCCGGTGGTGTTTCTCATACTAATCATGCTAGCAACAATCCCAACAACAATGCGCTGCCCTTTCTGGCCGGCACGCCCGGCACCTACAATCGCACAACGAACCGGCTCAACCACGGGCCCCTGCTGACCGCCACGCACTATAACATCTGCAAGAATCAGCACAACAGCCACGGCAACAACAGCGGCAACAACGGTGGTTTGCAGCCGTTGCTCAGCCGGCGGGATCAGCAGCAGCAGCACCATCTAACGCGTAGTCTTAGCATGTACAATCCCAATATTTATGGCCATGGGCCGCAGCATGCGCTGCTGGCAGCCGCCGCCGCTGGTGGCCATCATGTGCATCATCATCATCATCATGGGCGACATGGYGGTGGTCTCTTGTCATTGGGTGGCAGTGGCGCCGGCGCTGCTGCGGCTGCCGCAGCTGCAGCTGGTTTGGCCCTGCTCGGCCATCCGGCTCAGCATGGGCGCGGCACTGGCGGCATCAGCTTCAATGCGGCTGCAGCGGCCGCTGCGGTGGCGACCAATAGTATTAGCTATCATCATCATAATCCGCAACAGAAACCGAAAATTGTTATAAAACCCTTCAAAATTCACGATCCACAGCCCTTAGTCGCCGCACTCGCCGACAGCACTCTGGTGGATGCCATCGTCTCCAAGGTGTCGACAGCAACGGTGGCAGCAGCGGAGAGCGCCGCTCGACGCAGTCGCAGTCGTTCGCGTCGCAGCGATCACAGTCGCAGCAAGCGACGCACGAGCAACAGCCGGCATCATCGTTCCAGCAGTCGCTCCCGATCGTAAGTTGTCCTCAAATAGAAAGCCTTGGATAATTACCTAATCTCTCGCTCTCCCTCTCTATGTATCCAGTCGCTATAGCTCATCGAGCAGTCGCAGCGGCTCGTGCAGCTCTAGATCCCGTTCCGGCTCGCATTCATCACGCTCCAGCGGCTCATCAAGAAGCAGCTCCGGCAGCTCCTCGAGCAGCGGCTCGGGCTCATCACAAACCGGCTCACGCTCACCATCCATACCCAGACGTCGCGGCTCGCCTAGTTTTCTAGACAGGCGTCGCATCACGAGGTAGAAGCCGCTAATGCACATGTTTCCTTCTTTCAGTTCCATTTAGTTTTATGAACCTTGCAGAGTGATATCATTTGTATAAGTTTCTTAACTATATTATATATATATTGAGACTATAGTCTTGTGTATAAGAGATGGGTATATCTTATATATAACTCGTAGAACCATACCTGTTTCTGTCTATGCCCTCTTATCTTGTATACATATATAGAGTGTATATATAGCCATATCTTTCCGCCTGTCCGGTTCTATTTCAAATAATTTTAATTTGATAAAATTTCAGCATAGTTGAGGGTCTCCCCAGAGGCTTATCCTATAGCAAAGAGTAGTCGTTTTAATTGGCTGCACAAATGGCATAGCAGATCCCATAAAGTATATATATGCCAAGCTACATTTATGTGCCAAGTCCGTCCATCTCTCTAATCTGAGTGAGAGTGCCAAATCTCAATATATTTTGACTGGCCCTATTATTATTTTATTTTATATTTTTAAGCATAACAATTCTTATATTATATCATCATTTTTGCTTGCCTACTCTGCAAGGTTCATTTTAAATTCTTTGTATCTATTTGATTTTAATCTATTTATTTGATTAAATTAATTTAATTTTTTTGTAGCCGTCGCTCGCCACGCAGCTCGAGACGTTAGCCAGGTTATCCAGCTTCAGTTGCATTTTCATTTCCAATTTTATAGAGCACCTGATTTACCTGACTTCATTTGATTTGATTTGATTTGATTTCTTTTTAATAATTTTCTTTTCTTACAGCTAACTCAGGAATTATCATTTACATATATATTTCTCTCATTGTATATTCCGTATGTGTAGCTTACTTTATTTCGTGTGCTTTGTTCAATTTTGATTATAATTGTAATTACTTGTCCAATTAGCTCCAGCACACGCAGCACAAAAATAAATTATATCAATGCCAAATTGTATATTATTTGATTTTCTTTTAAAGGATTTAGTTTATGATTTCAATTGATTGAAATGATTTTCTGTTTTTTGGTAAGTTTGTGCGGCTTTTATTTTGTTGTAGCGGAATCGCGATTATTCGACTCTATCTAATCTCAGGGAAACTTGTTATTTTGCAGCGCTCGCAAGCGACCTATACCCTATCACCACCACAAGGCGTCTGGGGAGGGCATGAACAACGGCGACGGCGACGAGCATGTGGACAACGATGCTTCCAGCTGCTGCTCCAGTTGCTTCAGCCGCGGCAGCTCGCCGGGCTCACCCATGGCTGGCACACCAATGCACAATAGTCGGAGTCCTTCGGCGATTGCCTTTTGAGTGTTAACCGATTCGCTGCGCAAAATGTGCGGCGAACTGTAAAGCAAAAGAAGGGGAAATCCCCCGCCTACTCTAAGTAAATCTCAACTAGTCAAACATCCCTAGTCGCAATATGCAAGCAACAATTTATAGAAATCTCTACATAATATGTCTAGGCTAATTGTTGTGCAGTATAAGATTTGTTTTCCTTTAGACACATGCCCTTAAGACTAAGCTGTAAAGGATTTTCCTTTTTGCGATTCTCAGTAGCTAAACAATATTGTAGAGACGATCATTGATTTTAATTATAATCGAATATACTCGAATTATTTGCTAGTTTCTAAGCTTCGTTTTTAAATAAAATTATTTGTTGCCATTTCAAATGCAAACATTGTTTATTGTACATAAAAAAGTATTAAAAATTATTAAGGTTTTCAGCTTGAATTTCACAGATGATAAGACCGGCCCTCGAGTTCTCACATACACGCTCACACACACTCACAAGCACTCACAGATATATAAGCAAACACATTTCATATATAAAAAAACAAAGTTATTCCCGCTTGAGAACCTTTGAGGCGCAGATAAAGACACAGATATATATTTAGATAAACAGTTGGCAGTTGCGTTTATGTGGACTTGGCAGCTGCTTGTTTCTCCTGGAAGCGACGTCGCTTCTGTGCCAGGAACACCACCCAGATGAAGGAAATGATGCCCATGCTAATGGAACGGAACATGGGCGGCACATAGGCAATATTCAGATAGACGAACACCGACAGATATTGCCAATTGGCGCGCAATACGGGCCAATAGAGTTTCTCCAGATTCTTAACAGCTGTGCTGTGCGAGTTGCCCTGCAAGACAAAATATGTTACTTAAATCTTATCCATCTCCCTAAACTTCAAAACTCACCTCGAAGATCGATAGGAAATATAGCGAGAGCAACTGATAAAGCGGCGTATAGCCTAAGCGCTCGAAGAGGAATATAAAGAATTTTCTGAAACGAAAATCATGGCTTAACAAGCGCTCCACCGTCTGATAGAAGTAATGCGGCACACTGCCTCCAAAGATCAGGCCGAATAGACCATAAGCGAAGAGGCTTTGTTGGTTGAGCTTCTTTGCGCCCGCCAAACGCTGAGCGGTAACATTTGCCGTGGTGGCCAAGCAGCAGCTGCAGGAAATTAAATTCTTTAGATTAGTTAATCCCGTTTAAGATAGCTCCATCAATAATTACGCTGTTAAGGATTTCGTTCGCACTGGATGATTGAAAAGCTGCTCCAAATAGCTGCCGAAGAGCGAATAAAGTGGCTTTGAGAGTGCCATGATGCGGCTGCTAAAGGATAAATGCAATTATAAGTTATATTTTAGGAGCAGGCCAAAGTGCAAAGTACGCCGCTTATTCTTGATAACATCTATGGGCAACGCTCTCTTAACTCATTGTGCTACTAACCACTTGATAGAAACGGCGTTTAAAGACTGAGCGACTCCCTCACCTGAATTTGTTTTTCTCTTGCAGCCCTGCCAGTGTCACCACACATGTTTACAGCATATTTAAAAATAACAGCTGGTCACACAGCTCTCAATAAGTCTTTCTGACAACACTGTCATTCACAATAATCTTTTTACTGCGTTCAAAGAAATAGCTTGGAATTTTATTGGATAGAATTTTATTGTGCACGTCAAAGATGGAGTTTCCCCCATGTCCGAACTCATTGAAGTCCATACAGCACTTTCTGAAGCTGGCCCAGGAGCATGATTCGCGTGACATTGTCATAGCCTACTGGGCAAGGCTCTAGTAAGTAGATGCGCGATGGGTTTCCCTGCCAGTAAATTTCGCATAAGCAAAATGTTTTTGTTAATTAATTCTAAAGTGCGCTGCAAATTGGCTTAAAAGCGTCATCTCAGAGCGCAGAGGAGACTCAATTGCTGTTAGGTAAGCGCACAGAGATTATATTATATGATTCTTTTGCACCGATGACTCATCTATAATTTTATTTGTTTTGATTGGGCTCACAGCTATTATGGACTGGTTGGAGCAGATGAAGAAGACGCATGCAGATAACGAGGCAATAACCAACGATATAGCTGCCCAGGCGCACATTGAGAACTATGCTCTAAAACTATTTTTATATGCCGACAAGCAGGATCGCGAGGAGAACTTTGGCAAGTAAGTGGAAGTTCAATTTATATGAATTTGTCACATTAATCCCTTTATATTGTCAGGAACGTCGTGAAGGCATATTATTCCAGTGGTGTTCTCTACGACATATTGCTGACCTTTGGAGAGCTCAGCGAGGAGGCGCTTCACAATCGTAAATACGCCAAGTACAAGGCTGCTTACATTCACAACTGTCTGAAGAACGGCGAGACTCCCATACCCGGACCCTTCCCAGATGACGAGTCTGCAGAGCTAAATGGCGAAAGTCCAGCTGGTGTCAAGGATGACGCCGGCACCAATGTGACAGCTCCCGAAGAGCCATCTACTGACTCGCAGTCGGATAACGTCGAGCCCTCCTCGCCAGCTCCACAAACAACACCTCCCACAGTCGAGGAGGTTTTAAATAATCCGAACAAATTGCCCAGTCCGCCGGTGGAGGAAGAGAAACCAGGTGGCTTTGAGCCATACGTGCCCCCCGCTCAACCGAATGCCGCAATTTTCCAGCCGGCTGTGCCAGTTCATATAACACCCGATCAAATGATTACCGCCCAGAAGTATTGCAAGTACGCAGGCAGCGCCCTTAATTATGATGATGTGAAGACAGCAATTGAGAATCTGCAGAAGGCCTTGAAGCTGCTCACCACTGGCGCTGAATAAGATACCCTAAAAGTACACTAACCCCACACACAAACACACACACACATCCACACAGTTAAAGCTTGGAGCACGTGCACCGTTGAAACCACAAAATTAATAATCTCTGAAGAATTTGCTGGCCATGCTTATTGGACGTAAAATAGAAAGAAAACCCGAAATACGACGACTGATGTTGAATAATAGTTTAAAACAGCATTATATATATGTATATGTGTATGTATGAATATGAGTTATTCAAAAATTTATTAAAATTGTTGCTAAAATGTTGATGGCCGCGACAACTACAACATGAGTGCCGTATTGCAAAAGGATTCTGGTCTTTGTCTTTTTATAGCTATACTATAACTCGTTTATTAATATTTATAACTTGAACACTTTTCGCTTTTTGTTTATGTATATTATTTATATATATACGAGTATGTATTTCTGTGTATTCTTTGGCACCAAAGTGAAAAAGAATCGTTTCAATTTTGTTTTATTCTATATAAAAAATTTGATTTAATTTATAACTATAAATGAGAGTTGTTTCGTTAATAGCTTGTATTATATGTTATGTATTAAGGTCGCCAATTGAGCTCGAAAAATTTCAACTAATTGTGCTAAAAGAAAGCTGTTTACAAGTGCGTCTATGAGTTGAATTAATGATTCCGACTATATATACGATCAAAAATCTAGTTATCCGTGGCATTATCTACTCCTGCTTGAGCCCATTCGCTTGCGGAGCATTGACGGCCGAGAGGTCAGCGGCCTCCTTGCGACTGGTCTGATACCAGACGACCAATCGGCCGCCCAACATGAATGTGAACACCAGCGCCGGTCCGGAACGCTCGAAGGGATCACTGACCATCCAATGCTGGTAGATGCCCAGCAGCATCAGCAGCAGCAGCAGCACATTCGCCACATTCTTGATCTTGTCTGCGGATGAGAGTGTCGAAATGTTTCATATGCATTGGTAAGGCGTACTATTTCCTCTACTTACGATAGGGTATTAATGCCATGGCCAGGCCGCACACAATCTCCAAGATGCCAACGGTGCGTCGATACCATTTCGAGGGTATCTTAATGCCAAACATAGCCGTCAACGGAAATACCTTGGCATATTTCACGTATTCTGTGCGCTGCAAGGGTAAGTGAAATGGAAAACGAAAATTAAATTAGATTTGCAAGGCGAGGGTAGTCTAAGAGTTAGTTATTCAGAGATTTATTCAAGTTCTTTTATATCTCCCACTTAGCCAGCACTAATTTGCCAGCTCTATATATCCGAGATGTTTCCTGGATAGCTACAATTTATTCATTTATCATATATTCTGCTTACGCAAATAGTTCGAACATCAATCCTCACTTTGGCACTTGCTCCTAAATGACGAGCTCACTTAGCCAGAACTCATTCGCCAAGTACAAGCACATACGCACATTCATACATACACTCACATATATGTACACAGCCATATTCATTCAGTTTAGCCCATTTCTCTCTCTCTCTCTCTCTCTCTCTCTCCTTCCGTATGATGGCAGGCGATGCAATATGTTTATTTTTATAAAAAAGAAGAAAAGTCGCAAACCCAAATGTTGTTTGTCATACACACTCGCAATTTCAATTTCTATTTGAATTTATTTCATTTTATTTTGTTTGGCATTCGCCATTTGCGGTTCTCAACACGAAGGTGTAATTAAAAAGGCTAAACCATTGCAACAACAACAAAAAATAATAACAACAGCTGCGCTTGGGCTATAAATTGAAAAGCGTTGCAAATCAAATACCATACCAAAAGAACAACAAGAATAACAACAACAAATCAAATACAAAACGTGCTGTAAGCCAAATACCACAGCAAATTACTTTATATAGTATACAATACAAATTATGTGTTTGTAGATATTTCATTTTGTATATTTTCAAAAATTTCCTAATATAAAATCTAGAATTTGTTTTCTTTTTTAAGAGACTTGTAAACAAAAGAAGAGCAAATCACATTAATGCTTATTGTTTCTATATTTTATGTAGCTATATACATATATGTACATACATACATACGCATATATATATAAGCACGTGAACAGCAAATTTATTTACACAACAAAAACGAACGCCTACGCATTGTGATGCTTGCTAATTTCCATGGAGCACTGATTACATGTGAAACAAGTAAGACTGCTCTAGTGGGGAATGCTCGACTAAGATATACCCTGAATATATATATACATATATACACATCAAAAATGAACACCGGAACCTATGCAGCTAATGTGAATATCTAATGTGAATGTCTAATATCTATAGAGGAGCATAGTTATATATTCATATATGGACTCAGTTCGTCGTATAAATATATTCTATCATGCCTTCTCGGCCTGTTACATACATTTCTGCAACAGATTCATACTCTAAATTCCCATTTTCAATGGAGCCAGGGTATTCAAATTCATCATTTTTGCAGAGTCCAGAGAGTTAGAAGACATACATATTTATAAGTATAGCTAAAAATGTGGTCCAGTTTTGGCGTCATCTACTTATTATGAACACAACTACAAAGTGTTTGGCTGATAAAAACTTATTTCTGTGAGATATATATTTCTATATATATCTAAATATTCCTGAAGATCGTTGCGTTTTCAAAAAAGTTGTCATGAAGGCCAGCCGCCTGGCATTGATGAGGTCGAGTTCAATGGTGCAGCTAGACGATTCTATTAGTCTGTCATCATTTTAAGAATTTCCGTAATATTTCCTGAGTATTTCAATTATATTTTTGGCTAAAATTATGGCTACAGCTGACTTAAAAAACTTTTGAACATTTTTTAATAAAACTCATTAAAAATAATCTGTTATATTTATAAGAATGTTGTCATTGTACTAAATCATGACTTATACAGATCTAGATCTAGTTAGTAGAATGAAGTCCCAATTTTGATTAGGAAGCTCAGCTATTAACGTAAGCCCAAAAATTGTATAATAATAACAGCTTACAGTTTCTCTATTTCAAAGTAGAATACAAAAACGCTAAAGCATATCTCATAGTAATGCCTAATCCTACCCTGTACCAGAGCTCGTATCTCTTAGCCCAACAAAACTCATTTGCTTAGACAACTTATTTATTATTTAAACTCTCCGCTCAGCCCACTGCTACAAAGCTGACCCAGTTATATAAGAAACCCGTTATACATGAAAGAGGATATGTTTTGGTGGTTAAATTCCGTTTCAGCTCGGCATGAAAAATCGATGAGCTGCCGCTCCCGAAATGCCGACTCAAGGTAAACAATGTGATATAACCGCGTATACATATATTTGTCTATGTATATAATAATTTTTCATCCTTACCAGATCCTTGTAGAGATCCTTGCTAATATGCGGCGTCAGCTTCAGCGTGCCCACAAATATGAAAAACAGGCCCAGCAATATGGACAAACTCTTGAGCACAATCGTATTCGAGGCTGGCATTTTGTTTATAGTGCTTGACTTTAAATCACTCACAGACACTAAAAGCCCAACTGTCTATAATATTTACTAATTATTATAATATCTTGTTGTTGTTATTGGATTGCTCGCTGGGTTGAGCACATAATTTGTATGAATACTATTTTGAAATCACAAATTTGGGGCGCGCTTCTCGTGCGAGAGCGAGAAGAGGCGGCGGCTGACGGCTGGCTGTTGGCGGCGGCGTGGAGGCGTGGCCAGATGATACTGGGACTCGAATTCATATAGCATACAACACCCTATAATACACCGGTCGCTAAATTTAGCGCACGTCGCAGCTTCTTACTCGACCACGACGGACAAAGCACACCGAAACACACAAAAACAAAACCCAAAGTTATATGAAATTCAAAATTTGAATGTTTGGGCGAAAACACTTTGTGTGGTATGTATAATTTTCTATAAACAATTTTTGCTCGCTTTCCCTAGGCAGTTTTCGTTTGCTTCGTGTGGACGCACAGACGCGTTCGAATTGCTACTTAAACTGAGACTGAAAAACAAAATCGACCAGTTGCAAAATTTCTATCAGCAGCATCCCAAAAGGCCGAGTGCCAGAAAATCAATATGCTCCCGCTCTCGCCCTCTCTCTGTCGCTCTCACAAATGCCAAACGAGATCAAAATGAGAGCGATAGAGAGAGAGAGAAAGGGGAGAGTGGGCTGTTGGGCTGTTGGGTTGTTATTCATAAGGAAAGCGCCCTCAGCTCATAAGAGAGTGAAAAAGAGAGACAGAGAGTGAGAGAGCGAACGAACAAGAGAGGGAAAGTGTGAAGCAGAGTCAACTCGCAGCTGGAACGAGTTTTTTTTTTTTTTGGGGTGGTTCCCCCCTTGGGAAGTTACGAGGTGTAATTAAGGCCAAAGACCCCGTGTAACAACCCTTATGAAACAATGGCAACAGGGCTGCAAAGCAACTCAAAAAACACTCAAAGAAAGCAGTTAGTAAGAGTTCAAATTAAATTGAACGAAGTATATAGAACTCTGTGATTCTCATGCAGATGAGGATTTGTTCTTGATACAACACTTTAATAATTCTTATTCATGCTTTTTTATTTTCGATCAATATAAGCTAAGACTTTAAACGTAAATGCTATAGTAAAGCTAAAGAATTCATAAAATCGAGTCCAAGCTAGTTTCACCAGCCCATTGGAGCTCCTGGAACTGGACCGGGACCGGGACCAGGTCCAGGACCACGTAACATCGCCTCTTGTGGCGGTGTATACATACGTTTCGAGTCAGCCATGCGTTGATTGTAGCTTTCGATCTGTTCCGCCAGCTGGGCATCCTCCTGTAGGGCGCGACCTTCATCGAAATCCAGGCAGGCAACGCCATCTAATCTCTCCAGATCCAACCAGCCACGGAAGCGCACACAAACGCCATTCATAATGAAATGGGAACGCAAGTGCACCTTTCCGCGTTCCTTGTCGAAATCGCACTCCTGTTCCTGGGCGTAGGGATTGTGATTGGCATTGAAGTAAAGCTGCAGATTGGTGCCCGTTGGGACAAACGAGAGCTCAGCGTAGCCCTTGCGACAGTCAGTGACGAAACGCATCCGACGCTCGTCTATGGCGCGTCCCCGGTAGCCCGTGTATCGCACCTCGCTCTCTCGGCTCAGTCGCCGGAAAAGCTCATCCGATTCGTATTTGGACTTTTGATTCGGTACAACGCGTGGCATTTTGAATATGAAACGCGGCTTGGGTTGCTCATAGAGTCCCATTGCTTCATATGGTGGCAACTGGTGCGGATGATGATGCATTTTCTGATCTCTTAACAGCTCCAGACGTAAATTCATACTGATCATTGGTGAGTCCAGAAATCTTATTTATATGGTTACGCTTCAGCTATAGCTACCTGACTTTTCAAATTTTTATGATTATGGTTAGCAGCTGCAGTCATCATATAGTGTACCTGTACCTGTTGCCAGGTGTTCAATTATAACTCTTGCCAATAAAATCTATTCTTGAAAAAAGTCGCTAGCTGATATTTTTAAATCTTAACAGACAAAACATTTTTGGCATTGCCATACCGTTTTATTGCCCTGCGATTATTATTCGCCACAGGGTGTTCCATGTACACGAACAGCTGATATGTTTTATTGAAAACATTCACACACAACGCACATCAAGAAATTTGGATTTTATTCAAACAAATTTTGTAAGGTTCACTTTAAAAAGGATCATAAACTATGTCTCTGGTTGCATACGCGGCAAGCAGTGATGAGGAATCAGATAATGATGAGGACTCTACGTCTATGCAAGTACAACTAATAAAGCCAAGCGTTGCGACACAGAATGGAGCTCCAGAAGTAAAGGCAACTGTGAGCAATGGACATATTAGTGATGACGACGACGATGACTATATACCTCAAGAAGTGTCCTTACAGGAGTTGAAAGCGAACACTACGGGTCGGCTACATCTTAGCCTGCCTAAGCCAAAAGCAGCTGCTGGCCCAAATCCGCAACAGGAAAAGGTGGATGATCAAGTGACGCAGGCCTTTGCCAAGCTGCCAATGCCAAGGGCTGCAGCAAAGGTTACCGCCATTATAGAAGAAGTGGACGATGAGTTCTTGCACAAAAAGGCTGTTCCTGCAGGTAGCGAAGCATTGGAAAAACCACCGCCAGCTGTTGCCAGGGAACGCGTTAAGATTAGTATACCATCTCTCAGAGACTATGCCGATGTGGACAAGGAAATGGCAGAGAAGCTGAAGAACAAACAACCACAACTCAAGTCTACAAAAGGTTGCGGCTTGCTGAGCATTTTACCACAAGCTAAATCTGAGCGGGATTTCGCCAGAAAAACAGAGTCCGTGGCAGCGAAGCCAGCAAGTAAAGACGAGCCTGCTCCACAGCCGAGCAAGAATATTCCAAGAGTCAGTGCCTCATCAGCTTTCGTACCAGATACTGTTAAACAAAGACGCGCTGCTCACAATACCGAAGGCGTCGATGGACTTAAAGCCCCGTCTGCAAAGCCATCCAAGTCTTCCAAGCCAGCTGTCTCGCTGGTGAGCGTCAGTGACAGCGAGGATGAGGAGGAGGTAGCCAATTCTGGTGACTTTTTCTCACTGAACAGCGAAGAGCAACTGCCAGAGGTGAGCAGCAACGAGATTAGCGCCTTGGTGGCCAAGCGAGCAGCCAAAATGAAAGAAGCTAGCGTTAAGTATTTGACGGAGGTGGAAGAACGCAAGGCAATTGAGGAGGAGGCGATGCAGGTGGAATCAGAGCAGTTGCAACATGCTAAGAAACGCTACCATCAGCAATTGAATGCTGAGGCCATGGACGCACTGGTGGGCAAGAATGCTAAGAGGCGACGTAAGGAGGTGAAGGAAATGCAAGTGATTGACATAGTCGGCGATCAAGTGATGCCGGATCGTGAGGAATGGATGCGTACAGCTCTGGCCTCGGCCACCACATACCAGCCAACGGGTGTGCTGACAGACGAGGAGCCAGTGGCGGGCACAAGACGTAAACATCAAATCACATACCTGGCACACAAGGCGAAGGCGAACGAAGCTGAACTGCAGGCCATGTGGTCGGCCAATAGGCAGACACGTCGAGCCACACAAAGCAAATACGGATTTTAATGAACTCGCTTTGCATTTCTGGATTTCATTTCTTTTTAATATGAATTACAATTAGACTTAATATATACATAAATACATAAATAGTTGTTGTTTAATGGTGCCAGCTTTCGCGCTTTCTCAGCTTTCCACCTACATAGACGATGGCAGTGCAGAGGAGCAACATCAGAGGCGCCATGGTCACATAGATGGGTATCTGTTGTGGATACTCCAGGGTAATGCAGATCATCACCTGAGAAGTTATCGTCAGCCATACACCCACAATGTTCCATTTGTAGAGAGAGAGCAGGTCAGTAAGGCGATTCAAATTACGCCATTTGCGTATAAATTTGATGAGCACGTAAATTATAAGAATGCAGTCGAAGAACCAGAGTGGTGTGAAGGTAACAAACCAATTCCAGGTTGTGCGTGGATCTAGTCTTAAGCAGAGCAGTATAAGAAACACTAAAACTATAAACCATGTGAAAAGCGCGCGGTGTGCCAGTGTCATTTTGCTTTAATTGAACTTTTACATTTTATAAACACCAAAATTGTAAACAAGTGAGCGAATATCGTAACGAAGTATGTTTGTGATATCGATTGGTAACGATGGGGTACCGATATGTCGTATCGATATATGCAGCTGTTCTCTTGGGCGTTGACAACTCTACAATTGCTGCTGCATAGAAGAAGATAATTGACGTGTCACTTGAAAATTTTGTAAAATTGGTGTGTGTTTTTACATAAAACCATGAAATAAATTAATTGTATATGTTTATTTATGATCACATAATCCACTACAAATGCTAACAATTGCTGTTGTGTAATTCTAGACAAGAAAGTGCCTGGCACAGACTGCGTAAGTGTACGTCAAAGAAAAGCCGACTACAAGTTAACACATCGCCACGGCAGCAACAGCAACAGTGAAGGAAACTGCAACAATGCTGACCAATTTCGAGTCCAAATCGGCTCGTGTGAAGGGTCTTTCGTTTCACCCGAAACGTCCATGGATCCTGACCAGTTTGCACAGTGGTGTCATTCAGCTATGGGACTACCGCATGCATACGCTGCTGGAGAAGTTCGATGAGCACGATGGCCCCGTTCGCAGTGTGGCCTTCCATCAACAGATGCCACTGTTTGTCTCAGGCGGAGACGATTACAAGATTAAGGTGTGGAATTATAAGCAGCGTCGCTGCATATTCACGCTGCTGGCCCATTTGGATTATGTGCGCACAGTCGCATTCCATCACGAGTATCCATGGATCTTGAGTGCCTCCGATGATCAGACCATTCGCATCTGGAATTGGCAGTCGCGCAACTGCATCTGTGTGTTGACTGGCCATAATCATTATGTGATGTGTGCCCAGTTCCATCCGACTGAGGATCAAATTGTTTCCGCCTCGCTGGATCAGACGGTGCGCGTTTGGGACATATCTGGACTGCGTAAAAAGAATGTGGCACCTGGTCCTGGAGGACTTGATGAGCACCTTAAGGGTCATCCCGGTGCCACCGATCTGTTTGGTCAGGCTGATGCGGTGGTCAAGCATGTGCTGGAGGGCCACGATCGCGGTGTCAACTGGGCGAGCTTCCACCCAACCCTTCCGTTGATCGTATCAGGTGCCGATGATCGCCTCGTGAAGCTGTGGCGCATGAATGAGTACAAGGCCTGGGAGGTGGATACGTGCCGAGGTCACTATAACAATGTGTCCTGCGTGTTGTTCCATCCACGCCAAGATCTGATCATCTCGAACGGCGAGGATCGCAGTATTCGCGTTTGGGACATGACCAAGCGCCAGTGTCTGTTCACATTCCGGCGTGATAACGAACGCTTCTGGATTATGGCAGCACATCCCACACTAAATCTTTTTGCTGCCGGCCACGATGCAGGTGAGTTGCAACCTTTAGGTAAATTGAAAATTAGGTCTAAAACATTTGTTTTTCGCAGGCATGGTGGTCTTTAAGTTGGAGCGCGAGCGTCCTGCTTATGCGGTACACGGAAACATGTTGTATTATGTGAAAGATCGCTTTCTGCGCAAGTTGGATTTCACCACCGCCAAGGATACGGTTGTGATGCAGTTGCGTCCCGGCAAGTCGCCTGTCTATAGCATGTCCTATAATCCGGCACTGAATGCTGTCCTTATTTGCACGCGCACCAACAATCTGGAGAACAGCACCTACGATTTGTGCCAGATACCCAAGGACAGCGAGAACGATCGTCAAAACGAATCGGACAGCAAGCGCAGCTCGGGCATCACAGCCATCTGGGTGGCACGCAATCGTTTCGCTGTGCTCGATCGCAATCAGCAGCTGGTGGTGAAGAACTTCAAGAACGAAGTGACCAAGAAGATACCAACGTTCTGCGAGGAGATTTTCTATGCCGGCACAGGCATGCTGCTCATACGCGATCCGGAATATGTTACACTGTACGAGGTGCAGCGTTTGGTCTCCGTCGGCAGCATTAAGCTGGCCAAGTGCCGCTATGTGGTGTGGTCACCGGATATGTCGCTGGTCGCCCTGCTCTGCAAGCATTCGGTAACCATTTGCGATCGCCGGCTGCAGTACTTGTGCACCGTGCAGGAGAACTGTCGCGTCAAGTCGGGCGCCTGGGATGAGTCGGGCGTGTTCATATATACGACCAGCAATCATATCAAATATGCCATCACAAATGGAGATCACGGCATCATACGCACTCTGGATCTGCCCATCTATCTGACGCGCGTCAAGGGCAACCAGGTGTTCTGCTTGGACCGCGAGTGTCGCACCCGTGTCCTGCACATCGATCCCACGGAATACAAATTCAAGTTGGCTCTAATTCAGCGCAAATACGATGAGGTTTTGCATATGGTGCGCAACGCTCGTCTGGTTGGACAGAGCATCATTGCGTATCTGCAGCAGAAGGGCTATCCAGAGGTGGCCCTGCACTTTGTCAAGGATGAGAAGACGCGCTTCGGCTTGGCTCTGGAGTGCGGTAACATTGAGATCGCATTGCAGGCGGCCAAGGCATTGGATGACAAGGATTGCTGGGATAGATTGGGCCAGGCAGCTTTGCTACAAGGCAATCATCAGGTGGTCGAGATGTGCTATCAACGCACCAAGAACTTCGACAAGCTAAGCTTCCTCTACCTAATCACTGGTAATCTGGACAAACTGAAGAGAATGAACAAGATTGCTGAAATACGCAAAGATGTTTCGGCTCAGTACCAAGGTGCCTTGCTCCTGGGCGATGTCAGGGAACGCGTGAACATTCTCAAGAACTGTGGACAACTATCGCTGGCCTACTTGACCGCAGCCACTCATGGCTTGGATGAGCTGACAGAATCACTGGGCAACACCATCAGTGCAGAGGGCAGCAACTTGCCGGAGGTGAATCCGAATGCGCAGCTGCTGCAGCCTCCAGTGCCCATACAGCAACTGGAGACCAATTGGCCACTGTTGTCAGTGTCGAAGGGCTTCTTCGAAGGCGCCATGGTGACGCGTGCCAGCAGCAGCGCGACAGCACGTCAGGCGCTGAACATAAACGCGGATGCCGCACTGGACGAGCACAATGCTGGCGGAGATGGCTGGGGCGCTGATGCCGATCTGGGCTTGGGCGAAGATGATGATGGCGATGAGGAGATGCATGATGCACTTAGCAATGATGAGGCACAGGATGATGCTGCTGGCGGCGGTGGCTGGGATGTCGGCGATGATGATCTGGTGGTGCCCATTGAGCTGGCCTCCAAGATCAAGGCCTCGGCCTTGGACAGCAACTACTATGCGGCGCCCAACAAAGGCCAATCGCCAGCCCAGCACTGGGCCAACAATTCCCAGCTGGTGCTCGACCATGTTAAGGCAGGCGCCTTCAACAGTGCCTTCCGCCTGCTCAACGATCAGCTGGGCGTGGTCAATTTCAAGCCCTTCAAAACGCTCTTCTTGCAGAACTACGCCTGCTCCCGCACTAGCTACACCGCCAACCCCAATCTGCAGTCGTTAAATGGATATCCACTGCGTAATTACTCAGAAACCAATCCGAAGCTCCAGCGTCCAGCGCTAGGCATCAAGCTGAATGACCTGGTGTCCCGGCTGCAGTCTGGCTACCAGTTGACCACGGCGGGCAAGTTCACCGAGGCCATTGAGAAGTTCCACTCCATACTGATAAGTATTCCGCTGCTGGTGGTGGAGACGAAACTGGACACAGCCGAGGCGCAGCAGCTACTAAAAATCTGTGCCGAATACATTGTCGGCCTGAAGATGGAAACGGTGCGCAAGGGCATGCCCAAGTCCACGCTGGAGGAGCAGAAGCGTCTTTGTGAAATGGCCGCCTACTTCACCCACAGCAAGCTTCAGCCTGTCCATCAGATTCTCACTCTGCGAACCGCACTCAATATGTTCTTTAAGCTGAAGAACTATAAGACAGCCGCATCGTTTGCGCGTCGTCTGCTGGAGCTTGCTCCGCGGCCGGAGGTGGCGCAGCAGGTGCGCAAAATATTGCAGGCCTGCGAGGTGAATCCCGTCGATGAGCATCAGCTGGAGTATGAGGAGTTCAACCCGTTCAACATCTGCGCCATTAGCTGGAAGCCGCTCTATCGTGGCAAGCCCGAGGTGACCTGCCCCTTCTGTGGCAGCTCCTACGATCCCCAGTACAAGGGCAATCTCTGCACCGTGTGCGAGGTCAGTCAAATTGGCAAGGATTGCATCGGTCTGCGCATTTCCACACTGCAATTCCGTTAAACGGAAAAGGGAAACGAAAAACAATAATTAGAACCCTTTAAATGTCGGGCTTTTCCAAGCAACTTTATTTGTATTTCTAGAGTTAAACATGTTTATAAAATATACATTAATCAAAAATATATAAACGATACTGAAAATATATATTATATAAATGAAAATATACAGGAATTCAGAATCAATTCATATTGACTAGATGCTTTGAGCATGGCCTTGAGAAGGTGCGAACTTCGAATCGCAAGCTGCGCGAAGGTCACTTACCGTGATTTTTGTCCCACTCAAGGACTTCAGCTTCTCGAAACTTCTGTACACAGAAGAAAAAGTGCCACCCGAGCTAGATCAAACAAAATTGAAGCCGAATCAGGTCAAGTAAAATCTTTTATATAAAATGATGCTATATATCATAACTGGAATATTCCACGCTAAACTCCAAAACATATAAGGTATACCCTACAGCCATTAAAAATGTAAATTGTTTGATTAAATTATTTTCATTAATTATTAATAAATAAATGACGAATCAACGCGTCATCTTTAAATTTCCGGAATTATAATGTGTACGTTTATTATGTATTTTGTATATGTATGTGTATATTAGTATATATATAGTTAGCATACGTCACTAAAATTGTACATTAAAATGTTATATTTAATACCATACAAGAATACGTTAAGTAATTTACTATAAGCTAAACTAAGTCTACGAGCATTTTATTCGAGCGAATCTAAACGTAAGCGAATCCGTATCCATGTCCGTATCCGTATTCGTATTCAAATCTCGCATTTGGTGGCAAGTTTGGATTAGAGCATTTGTTCATCTGTTCAGTTTTCCATAAAGTATTGAGTATTAGGGTATTGAGTCTCATGCTGCTGTTGCGGCTGCTGCTGCAACTGCTGTGATTGCTGCTGCAGCTGCTGCTGCTGTGACGGCGTTGTTGCCGTCCAAAAGTCCAACTAACGCCGCCACATACTGGCGCCCACTCCAATGCCGCCGGATGCAACGCCTCGACGTACTGCCTCCATCTCATCCTGGCGATTGTCGCGATAAGCGCGCTTAGTATCTTCGAATTCACGCAGCCGTTGATTGTAGCGATCAATTTGGTCACGCAATATCGCATCCTCGTGCATCGCACGTCGTTCGTCAAACTCGAGGCAGCCAACACCATCTAAACGCTCCAGATCCAGCCAGCCGCGGAAGCGTACACAGACACCGTTCATTATGAAATAGGATTTGATGTGCACCTTGCCGTGTTCCTTGTCAAAATCGCACTCCTTGTCATGCAGGTAGGGATTCTGATTAGCATTGAACACCAGCTGCAAATTGGTGCCAGATGCCACAAAACTCGTCTCGGTGTGTCCCTCACGGCAGCCGTTCATGAAGCGCACCTGGCGCTCCTCAATACTGCGCTCCCGATAGCCCGTATAACGGATTTCGCTCTCGCGACTCAGACGCCGAAAGAGTTCATCACTTTCAAACTTAGACTTCTGGTCGGGCACCACCCGTGGCATCTTGAAGATGAAACGGGGCTTGGGCTGTTCGTAGAGTCCAATTGTGTCGTAGGGTATCATATTGGCCAGTGCAGCAGCCTCATTCATCATTTTGAAATGTTTTCTTGCACAAGCTACTTTTAGATAAAGAGTATTTGTTTGTTAATCAGATGTTTTGGCTTGAGTATTTATAAATTGTTTCAATTTGCTGCAGTCAGCAACACAACGCATACAACAGAAATTATTTTGCGGTTTTGTTATACTAACCGATAGGTTGTGGAGGCTAGTCGATTAATACACACACACGCACCCTAATTTGATGCGCTCGCCTAACCTAATGTTGCCATATGACCAAAATATTATAAAAGTCTGGCTACACTTAGCGCCATATGGTCGTCTGCAACGCGGTTGTTTGTTTACAAAGTTAATTTCGGAATTATCCTCGCAGGAAGGAGAATATGAGCAGCGAGTCAACGGAACCCATAGAAAATGCTGCTGACAATGAAAAGCGTCCACAGTTTGGCACACGTTTACTCAAGGATGACGCCGATGTATATAAGCACAACGCCTGGTAAATATCTGCAACGTTGCTTTGCCAGCAAAACTTGGGAACACACCCGCAAGCGCAAGAAACCGGGTGGAGCTGGTAATCGCATACTCAGCGATGCGCGGGAGGTGTTCGAGTTTAATGCATGGTATATACAGAATACGGATAACTCCCACACATAAATGCCTAAAATGTATTCTACAGGGACCACGTGGAATGGGATACAGAGCAGGAGGAAGCTGCCCAAGCAGCTGTTGCAAAGAATTCAACTATAAAGATGAGCGATGATCAGCGAGAACGTTTTCAATCGGAAGCGCCGAAGTTTTGGGACTCGTTTTATGGCATACACGATAATCGCTTCTTCAAAGATCGCCATTGGCTCTTCACGGAATTTCCCGAACTAGCGCCCATTTCGAACAACGAGCACTCAGAACCACGCAGCATCTTTGAATTGGGTTGTGGGGTGGGCAATACCATTTTGCCCATACTCCAATACAGTACCGAAACCCAGCTGAGAGTATATGGCTGTGACTTTTCGGCACGCGCCATCGAGATACTCCGTAGTCAACCGCAATTCGATGACAAGCGGTGCGAGGTCTTTGTCATGGATGCCACGCAGGAAGAATGGAATGTTCCATTCGAGGAAAACTCACAGGACATTATTGTCATGATCTTTGTACTCTCCGCCATAGAGCCATCGAAAATGCAGGGTGTGTTAGATAATTGCTATCGCTACCTTAAACCAGGCGGTTTATTAATGTTTCGGGACTACGGACGCTACGATCTGGCGCAATTGCGCTTCAAGAGCGGCAAATGCCTGGAGGATAATTTCTATGTGCGTGGCGATGGCACTATGGTCTATTTCTTTACGGAACAGGAGCTGCGCAGCATGCAAACCAAGGCTGGACTAGTGGAGGAGCAGCTTATAGTAGACAGACGGTTACAGGTCAACCGAGGACGTTGTCTGAAGATGTATCGTGTTTGGATACAGACGAAGTTCCGGAAGCCTCTCTTAAAGTCGTAGAAATCAATGCCACTCGTTAGTTGATATAGTTAGGACTATAAGAAAAAGCTACTCGTTAGTTCTGATTCATTGAGCTTTTGTACTCGTCCTTAAATGTTGTGCGAGCTTTTTCCCAAATACACATAACAGTTAGAAAAGCTGCCAGTTTTCGCAGTTGGCTAAAAACGTCGTAAGTGAAAATTTTCTTTGTGCTAAGCAAATGTATTTAATTTATTATTACATTATATATTATACCAACTAAATTTGGGTTAATCCCACTACTAAGTTTAACAACAAAATATTCAATATATATAAACAGTTCGATTGAAGCTCTTGATTTGGGTTAGCAAAAAAATGGTGTTGTGTAAAATTTCATTGATTTTTTGTCAAGCTAAGCAAATTTAGAGCCAAAAGTAAATGAAATCAGAAAAGTTCACAAATCAATTTTGAAAGGCCCAAAAAAGTGTTTTAAGTGCCCCTGGGAGTATGCAATAAATAGTTTTAGAAAACTATATGTGAAATTGAGAAACTATTGAATACACCCAAGTTCTATATGTGAGTGTGTGAGTGCGGGTGTATGTAAATATGAGTGCATGTGTTTGTGTGGGCGTTAAATAAGCAAAAGACATTTGAGGCCGACAATTCAATAGAATAAACATAACGAATAAGCTAACAAATACTAAAAATAGTATGCAACTATTTTTATACTTTATTCATCCTACAGTTTGAAAAACAAGGGCCAGAGGATTCCTTCACACACAGCGCTGCTTGCAAAAGGTTGTCGTGGCAAGTGGTACCCGCACATACACACACACTCTCTCAGTCACTCACACACACGCATCTGCCTGCCAGTTATTTCCCCGTTTGTTGCCTGTGTGTTGGAGCTGAGCGTTTTCATTGAGGAAAAGCTCACAAAGAGCGCGAGGCGAGCGAGCGAGAGAGAAAGAGAATTTAACGGTCAGCAAGGAAAGAGAGAGAGAGAGAGCGAGGAGAGCGAGAGAGCATTGCCAGCGATAACAAAAACAACGAATAGCCAGAGTTTAGCTGCACTCAGCGACCTCCCCTCCGGCATCCGGCAGCAACCCCCAACGAAAGACATTTTGGCCAAGTGCATAAAAGTCCACGGGACACGGACAACGGACACAGTCAGCCGTCATCGCAATTCGAGTCCAAGACTCTGGGCAAAGTTCAAATTTGTTAATACAACAACAATAACAGCAGCGGCTGTTAAAACAGCAACAACAACAAACCCAAACAAAAAGCAATGTAAGTAAATGGCAATTATTGATTTCTCTTGCTCTCTAATCGTTACGCGCAAACAAAAGGCTTTACAGTGAGAAGTCTATTAATCAACAGCGCCCTTGAGGCGGACATCTCCGCGAACCGGTGCTTACTTTAGCTTACTTTTTATTTGAACAAAAGATTCTACGCTGTCTTACCCTCGCACAAAGAAATTCGAAATTAAGATATACAAATCAATGAAATTTCACGATATTTTCAAACTCGAATGGCTAGCAAATATGCTAATTGTTAATCGATAGAATACGAGGAATGCAACAATAACAATTTTAATTGTAAAATTAATAAGGGATCTATCTTAAGTTAATTTTGTTTGCCTGTAGGACTCGTATGTATGTAGGTGTTCGCTCGCAAGAGCTTTCACTGTATACACACACAAAATAAAGTATACGCCGCATGACCACGCAAATACGTATCATATATGTAAATAGTGGCTCAACAATGTATTTGTTCAATTTGAAATTCTTAGTGCGATATATTTGTGGATCTATTGTGTGCGTTGCCACCTCTCACCAAAATTATTTTTCCTTTTTCTTTTGCGTCGGCCAACGCTGGTGGACGTGCCCCTGTCCGCCGATACCATCGCATCACATGGCAACTTTCCCGCACCGCACCGCAAAATCGATAAACTTAAACACAAGCTGTCGTGCCCCATGAGTTAGTCATGCAAAAAAACAAAAACCTTGTTCTTTTTTTTTCTTGGGATGCTAATGGGCATATTAAATGCATTATATATATGTTAAATGTAAAATTGATTAAAAAGGTTATTTTTATTGAAGTTTGATTTTGATTTTAATTACTTTCTAAGCCGCACACTAAATCATGGGCAAGAAAGACAAGAATAAGGAACCGTAAGTGCCCAGCTCTATGGAGTAGTTCGTCTAGAACTTGCGCACTTGCCCCTCCTCTAACATACCTACACACGCATATTAAGATGTATTTTCTGTAAATGTTGCTACCACATCATGTGTAACTCAATAACCCTAGCTAGACCAGTACTTAAATCATTTTGAGTGCTCCGCGGGGAGTTGATTAGAGTCGCCATTATTGGATGACTAATGATGTGGCTCATCTATCTGTAGGGCGGATGCTGCAGCAGCTGGCGATGCACCACCCGTTGATGGCCCACCGGCGGGCGAAGGTGGAGATGGTGAGATTGTGGGCGGACCACGCAATCCCCAACAAATTGCGGCACAGAAGCGCTTGCAACAGACGCAGGCTCAAGTTGATGAGGTAAGCATTCCTCACTCCCTCCCTCTCCCTACAAATATGATGTATGTATATACATATATTCCACTTGATTAACTTGCTGCTTCTCTTTCACTCAGGTTGTAGACATTATGCGCACGAATGTGGAAAAGGTGCTGGAGCGTGATGCCAAGCTCTCGGAGCTGGATGATCGTGCCGATGCCTTGCAGCAGGGCGCCTCGCAATTCGAGCAGCAGGCTGGCAAGCTAAAACGAAAGTTCTGGTTGCAAAACTTGAAGGTGAGTTGAGAAGACAGTTGATAAATTTAAATTAATTCGCATTCATTAATTTTGCAGATGATGATCATAATGGGCGTTATTGGACTGGTTATCGTTGGCATTATAGCAAGTAAGTTAATCGTGCGGAAATTGTTTAATCGTGTTCACATCACATACGATAACCCAACCAGGAATACAACCCCATATATACACACACACAGATCAAGTACACATAATTTAACACCCCCTCCAATCAAAACCCAAAAATGTTAATATTATTTTTCTATCATTTATAATAAATAATTCAAACCTCTTTTAGCTCTAATTTGATTTTCTATAATTTTGAAAACTATGCAAAACTAAATTGATTTGTTTCGTTTGTTTTTTATTCCGACACACTTTTTTTTCTCTAGGTAACTTTATGTAGATTGCTAAAAACTAACTATAAGAAAAATTGCTATGTAACTTAGTTACAAACAAATGCTTAAACAAAATCAACCCGACTATATATCAAATTCAAAACTCATTTAATCAACTGCTAAAGAGTAGAGAGCAAAACTCACAGTTCAAGTGTCGTACGTTTGATGATCGTTCGCTTCAAAACTGAAATTGAATATAAATTTGAATTGACGCCTTATCGATATCGATAACAAAAAATAAGAAATCGAACGATTCATCGAGCCATTGCATCCAATTGTACTTAGCATATCATGCGCTCCAACAACCACAAAAAATCAAAAACTTAAAAAATGTTCAGCATCATCTGGTTCCATACGATATATAATACGCACCAGGTTCGGTAATTTGATTTAAGGCCGTGTTTTGTCTTTTTTAGTGTAATTATGGTATCTTTGTGTTTTGTATGTGTTGCTCTATATGTTTGGGTTGAGCACCATGAACACCCTGTGTCCGCTAAAGCCAAGTATATTTCGAGTATGACCTTTACGATATTCATTTATACCCCGTAATTTGTAGGATCTAGTGCTGGTTCATTGTAATTGGAATATGGATAGCGTAGTCCGTAAAATAGTAAAATTAGTGTTATGTTTTTGTTTTCGTTTCTTTTTGTTTTTATTGACATACTAGATAGTAACTATGTCCCTTTGTAACATACTCGATCTCGTCACGCCACGCCCCTCATAATTATATATATACCATCTATATAGAGTATTTGACCAAGGTCAGCAGCAAATGCATAAAGTACTGCAAAAAAATAAAAAGCATTCTTATCTAATTTCTTTTGTTACGTTTTTTTCCAACTATTTGATTATTTTTCTATGCACTACAAGTCCACACCCAATGTCCATGTCCACTTCCACGCCCACGCCCAAGCCAACACCAACTGCCACGCCCACATTTACTGTGTACACTCACCAAACTTTTTTATCACACAATTACAGAGAAAGACGAAGAGAAATAAAAATAAAAGCAAACAATTTGTGCAAGCTTTTAGCTTTATGTTATGTTTACCAATACGAACTATTCAAATGAACAAATTCTTTAAACTATTATGATTTAAGGTAAAAAAGAAAATAAATCAGAAAAAGCAAAATATTTCAGTTGCAAATATTATTGCTAGGTGCACAAATCACTTAAAAGCTATTTATTTATTTATTTTTTTACAATTAGTAAGTACACAATCACCCACATAAGAAGTAATTTTAAAAACATTGGTTCGATTGATTTTAATGGCTTGTATCAAAAATGCAATTCCACAAATTTTTCGTAGAACCTTTCATGTCGGATGATGCTGCTGTTTCGCCATCTCCTGCTTTGCAGCAGGTTCATGCATCCGCACCAGCAACAGCATCAGAATCAGCACCACTACCACCACAACAACCACACCACACACTCAAATCCGAACCACCACCAACGACACTTGAGAAAACTCCATTGGCTGAGAAATTGACCGATGACCCACCGAGTCCGACGGATGACGTGGCGACTGGACAATAAATACGCTCATAAACAACAAAATAATATGAATAGCAACAAGTACAACCAAAAAACCAAAAACCAACAGCACTACATCAACAAAATAACATCAAAGAAATTTGAAAAACAACTGCAATTGAACCAGACCAAAAAAGAAAACATTACACATTCAATTCAAACCATTCGCAAAAACAAAACTATCGAACACTGTAAGCAACAGCAAAAACAACCAAAAATATCGATTATCATTTTATCTGCATGTGTGTGAATTACCGTTATTGTGCGCAAATTTCGTTATCATTTGAAACATTTGAGAGTGTGCTTCATGATCTGTTGACTCTTATTGATGTTGTTTCCAAAAGAATATAATTAATGTGTTCTGTTTTTATTTTCCATATATATACATACATGTATATGGATTGTTTATTTAAATTTTAATGCACCAACAGTTTGAACGGGGGACTGAATGTAACTGAAATCAGATTTACTGAAATCAAATTTGTATACGAGTTGGTTGGGCAACATGAAATATTCTACGCTAAATTATTAAATATTAATTGTATATAGTCGAGGGCACGTTTTATAAAGTTAATCTTAGCTTTATCGGATGTGGACCTAACAAATTCATTATTATGCTTTCAAATAACATAACAAAGCTTTTTAATAATGTCCCCAGCCCCTTCTAGAAATCAATTGAAGTGTATTATATATGGCGTATACGTATTTGTAATCGTATCAATGTAATTGTCATTCAATTGAGCAAATCATTAAGGACACATTTACCTTATATGCTGTTGACCTCGCTTTTTTCTCTCTCTCTCCAAACAACTCACAGATAAGCTGGGCCTCATAGGCGGTGAGCAGCCGCCGCAGTATCCACAGTATCCGCAGTATATGCCACCACCACCACCGCAACAACAGCAGCCACCTGCCGGCGGACAATCGGCGCTGGTTGATGATGGGACCGGAACAGGCGCTGCAGCTGACGCCGGAGCTGGAGCAGGTTCCCATGCGGGCGTATAAGTAATTATGGATGGCATTTACTTGTAAAGCCAAATAAAACCTTTGAATTTCAAATTTCAAATATATAAAATGAAATAAAAATAAAAAGAAAATTAACTTGAGAATTGCAAACATTTTAAGGGAATTATGACTCAGTATAAACAAAACATAATTATAATATAATAAAAACAATCCTAAGAAGACGCTCCGGACAAATTAAAAGTTGTTGCTAATTTGTTTATGGTTACATTATTTCATGCATATACTAAACAAAAATATATATATATATTCTATTCAAGGTTCAGGTTGCTTCCCAACATTTTCGCATTCGCAAAACTTTAAACTCAGTTTCTACATGACAAAAATCTAGAAAAAAAACTCTAAGCTTTTGTTCCTAAATAAAAGTTACCAAAAAAGGAAATTATTGACATGTATAATCCAAAAATAAAAAATATATACATATATATAATTGCATTAATATAGAAAAAAAAAGAGAACAACAATCTACTTATCTATAAAAAAAAAAAGTAATTAAATAAATTAATGTGCAAAAACATATTTCAAAAGCAAATGTAGTCGAAATAAAAAAATATATATACATAAAACAAGAAAAACATTTAGCAAAAATATACAATAAAAATAATTTGCAAAGTTTTTGTTTGATTGAAAAAGAAATTGTTCACACTTAAAAAAAGAAAAGAAAAAATGGAAAAACCAAAACAGTTCAACGATTAAATTAAGAGCTTCTCACACAATTTGTTAAAAATGTTTGTTTAATTTGGTCAAAGTTAAAGACGGCTATAAATATATTGTATATCGTATATATAAATATGTTATGATTAAAATTATATTTGACTATTTATTTAAAAA